TCCTCTACTTACTCCCAGCTCCCCCTTACCGGGTACTCGCTACTGGTCTCGTTTCCAGAATCCTTGGATCCTCACACGCTCCTCCACCTCGCCATCTTCTGCTCCTCCTTTAATCCCAATTCGCTGGGCTCTTCCTTTGCTAGTGCCTCCCTCTACTGCCTCCACTTTTCCCACACAAATCATCCTAGTCTCTAGTGGTCGAATCCCTCTCCGCACGCCCATCTTGCCCATCTGCCTCTCGCCCTCTGACTCTCTCTTCCCGGCCTCTGACAAGAAAGAGTGGCCAAATCAAAAGGACCCTGAGCCTGAAGGGCGAACATCCCAGATCTCCAGGCTATTTTGACTAGTTCTCTGCTCGACCATTACACAACTCAACCTCATTACCTTCCCTCCACCGCTCCCACATTCTTTTCCCAATTCAACACCTCTCCCACATCCTCTCCCAGGTCCCTCCACATATGCTCAAGTCATGGTCTTGCGACAGTGCACCGTATGTGGCCGTCGTTTCACAAAGACTGAACACTTCAAGCGCCATGAGCGTTCTCGTACGTCAACTTCACTTACCCCGCGCTAGCCTTCTCTCGCTCATGCATTGCCAGACACGCGTGAACGTCCTTACCCGTGCACTATCTGTGACAAGGCTTTCTCACGCAGGTTCGTCCTTGCTATATTTAATCCCTTTGTTGGTGGTCAATTGATGCCAATCATGATCCAGCGATGTCTTGTTCCGGCACATGAAATGCCATGCTCAAAAGAACGACAAATCAGCCCCTACCAATGCTTCCTCACGGAGGAACACCATCTCAGAAGGCGTCCCACCTCAGCCTTCCCAGGATGACTTCAACATCAACTCTCCGGCCGCTCTTGCCAATGCACCCCATGCGGGTGGTATCTCGGTGATGCAGATTCTCTCCCCTAGCAACTATCTCTCTCAGTCGGGAAACGATCCTTCTCAACCCGCCAGACAGTCTTCGATAGATGTGTCCAACCCGTTTCTCGATGCCTCATCGAATCCCGGCAATGCCCTCACCATGCAGCTCACTGGCTCGGCATGGACGGTGCCTTCGCCCATCAATACCATGAACAACAAGGCCTCCAGTTCCTCACATGGTCAAAAACCGTCTCCGTCGCAGAACAGTGGTGAAGTATCGACTTTTGAAACTTCGGTTACCAGCCCGCCAAACCCGGGTCAAACCCCTCGGTCTGAGATCGCGCCCAATCAATTCTCGGATAGCCATATCGAATGGCTTCCCCAAACGGACAACTCCAGCTCCAGCAACTTCCATGATCCTTTCCAGATGTGGCTGTTTCCTTCTCTGGGAGATTTGGACCAATCTCCCGACTTCCTGCAGACCTATGGCATCCCCGACCCGCAGCAGCCATACCAGGACTCAAAAGATCTGGTGAATGGCAGGGCCTACGATCCTGCGGACAGGACGAAAAACATCGCCAAGGTCCCCCGGGAACGCTTCTCTAGGGTCCAGCGATGTTGGAATCCCCGGCCAGGCCGTGTCCATCGGATTATGCCCGCTCTTTGGAGGGAAGTCGCTGCATCACTAATGGATAACCTGTTCTCTGAATCACCCGTGGCCGATGACTTTCGGACCACGTCAAATTGGGGTCTCGATACTGAATGCAGAGTGCGACTAAGAGACACCTTTCGCACCCCCGCACCGTCAACATACCATTCACCAAAGCTGCAAGCTGTCGTCGATCCAGCTCTTTCATCACAGCAACCAGCGAGCGAGGAATTCCCGCCCGCTGAAATCCTCGATATCGCGTTAGGTCTTTTTTTCCGGCGGTTTCACCCCACCGTCCCATTTATCCATATTGCGACGTTTTCCGTTCGGAATACTCCTGCACCGATGCTATTCGCCATATGTCTTATTGGTTTGAGTATCCTTGGAACAACCGGCGCCACGAGATTTGTGTCAAAAATGTTTCCCAGCTTTTTACAACGTGTTTGTAATGATTTATCTGCATGTGCAGGATGCTCTGCAACAGCGACGCAGCAGCTGGTTCTGTTTGCGACTGGTCTGCTGACACTGAATTTATCGGTTATTACTGGGGATAAAGATTGCTTCAATCAGAGCCAGATGCTTTACGTCAGTCTGTTGGCTATGGTCCAACAAAACGGGCTGTTCGCGGCCGGCGATGGACAGCCTCTCGATGCACTTTTGTCCGAGATGTCGGAATCAGACGATCGTTGGAAAGCGTGGAGTCGGATCGAATCGGCCAAGCGTCTGATCCTGGGGCTGTTATTATGTGATTCGTGGTTCTCAAACTTGTTGTCAAAGGCACCAATCGTGAGATCGGAATCTGTTTGCGTCGTGGCGCCGTGCGATGAGGCACTCTTCCAAGCTAAATCAGCTACTCAATGGCAGTCTCTGCTCCGAAGCGGTAAGAACCAGAGTGCGCCAACTTTCAGGATTGAGGACCTGCACAAGCATGATATGGCACCGATTGGGAAGTTAGGATACCTGGGGCGATCATCCCTGCTCGCATTGCTTCAGATCCAAGTTCTGGAAGCTTACCAACGGCTCATGCCTCCGGATCAATTGACCATCGGGTCATACATACCCTGGCACGTCTACGCCGGTGATGCACGCGCCAGCACGCTTGTACCAGCCGTGCTTGCTGCTACTCACACGGCGGGCCCGCTCTCGAAAGTCGACGACACAAATTGCGTTGTCCTCTGGCATAGTCTGTGCGTGATGCTCTTGTCTGATTTTCGCATGTTCGAGCTGGCAGCCGGTCGACATGGGGCCGCTCCTGCGACTGGCGCATTGGAAAATATCTCCCAATGGAGCCAAACTCAAGCCGCTCGCAGGGCATGCGTCCACGCAGCGCAGAACTTTAAACTCATGTCGGAGCGCCGAGTTAGCGACAATGTGACAATCCATAGCGTCACCGCACTCTTTGCTTCCGCACTCGTACTAGGCCTCTATCTCTTCATGGTCGACCCAAGCTCCGGTCGGCAGGGCACCGCGCCTGTGGAGCTTATGGATGCAGACCCCGACTGGGCTGAGTTGGGCGATATGGGCTTCAAAGACGAAAGCCTGGACCCGACAGCGGTCGAACGAAATCTCACCACGAACCGCGAGGACGAGCACTTCAGCTTGGTGTACCAGTTCGTCAAATACGGTGGGGCCTTATCTTTGGGTGGTGTGGCACATAGTGGTGGCTACGAGGGCGCTAGGAGGGTGTTGCTGGATTTTGCAAATCTGATGGATGGGATCAGTGGGAGGAGACTGAGGACCTTTACGCAGGTGTTACATATCATGAGCGATGATTTGATGAACGTGGACCCTGCACTATAGCTGGTTGACGAGGCTGAGATATGCTCAGGGCCCAAGCCAGACGTGTCTGTTCGTAGTATCCTTGTTCCTGGCCTGGTGGAAATGTCGGCGTATGAAAAAGGGTTGTCTCATGCATTATACTGGGAGGTCCTTGAGCTTGTCGCCGTGGGCGAACCTGAATGATACCTGCGAGAGGAAAAATGTGCACGTCATTGTCTGCTTCCTCCCCCTCCTCCTCTTCTTCCATTTCCGCTTCCTCCAATTCAACAGCAAGGCTCTATCAACAAAACGGCCATGTCACATTTCACGCTGCTAGATCCGGCTCAGACGGTCCCGCCGTGTGCGTATGTTTGCCTCTTTGGATACATCCACCTCGATCCACCTCGTCACCTTTCTGTACTTACATACCGAGTACCTACCGGGCTGAATTGAAAAGTAAGTAACCAGTCCGACCCGAATTTCACGCTGCATCCTGTGTAACCAAGGAGGACTTGATAACGACGAAGTGGTCGGTGTCGGTATATCAAATATAGCTAACGATACCCGATATAGCTAACAGTGGAGATACCTAGGTACCTTGACTTCTAAAGGGAAACGGAATCCTTATTACTGACCGAAGGCCATCTCCGTCCGCAGCAGTGGAGATCCCTCAGCGCTTTATTTATTATTGCGAGCGGAAAAATGTGTACATGTCTTTCTCTCGCTCGCATGGGGGTGAGAATGAGCACACAGTGACTCCTCTAGGCTCTGGGAGTCTGTCGATCCGATACCATGGTTTCGGACTCGTCCTCGCTAGGTGCAGGCCCAAGACACAGCCTCGCTTCGTCCCGTCTAACTTGGCCTATTCCTCGTCGGTGCTGGGATTGCGCCCGACCGGCGTCAAGACAGAAGACTGGCCCCTGGATGAGCAGCCTTCGAAAACCGAGTAGACCCTCAACATAGCTTTCCGTGCGGCGAACTTGACTACGCCGGGGCGTCGGTGTTCACCACCCTGTCCGCACCATATTTCCACGTACTGAACCTCTCCAACGGTTCCAAATAGCTTCATCAAGAGTCGGTCTGTTGTAGATCTCGGGAAGTCCTGGACTCGGATAGTTCTCTTGGGGGATCCCTCTGAAAACCGAGTCAATCACCAGAGCACTCGAGACATTTGTCTCTGTCGCACCCGCAAACCGTCGATCTCGTCTTGCTCCGCCTGGGAGACTATCTTTGATGCATCTGCCATTGAAAACTTGTCTCTTACACTTTTGCCGCAACCACGCCTCGAGCTTGAGTTGGGGGAGACGGTACACAGGGGTTTGTCTCAATCGAACCGCCGTAGTCTTGCTCCCCCCAAAAAGGTAGCTGTTGAGACCACCGTGTTACCAATCACAACCATGAGTGTCAGGTTTGCTATCATCTTCTCAACCATCATGGTCAGTCTCTGTGAACTCCGCTCGCCACTGAGAGGCAGTCGGAATCCCTGGCGAGTCTACCACGGAGGCTTTGGTCTGCTGAGTTATGGCTCGTCGGTGGTTGTGTCGGGCCACCGGTTGGTTCACCCTTCTGACAAATATCCTCTCTTTCGCTTGCATTCAGCTTCGGTGATGACACTTAATTCTACCGAGAAATTGACGGGGACCAGGTTGGCCATTTCCATGCGTCACAGTGGACATGGAGCTGTTTCAAGTGGAAGTGTCGTCAACGATCGGGTCCGCGCAGTTATGCTCGGATGCTGGTATGGCTTCCAAGGGTGGCCTCGAACCCAACGATGTAATCTTCCACAAATGTCACGACGCCCGTCAGAATCCCTAGTGCAGAGGCCCCTGCTTGAAGAATCTGTAGACCGCTGACCTTGGATTGCCGATTCACGGGTACCAGACCAGGATCAAGGGCGGAGGGCCGCGCTTCTTGTAAAACGGGCTGAACCAGCTTGTTAAGTTTGGGGACAGCTTCTGTGATGCCGTTCATACCATTGTCGTGCTTTATTCTCATATGCGCAATCATAGTCTGGTTGGTGCTCAGTTTCCCATCCAGTTCTGCGAGAACACCAAAGACATCCTGAAAGCGTGCCTGTGCAAGTGTAGCTTCTTCTTCGGCGATTTGGTTATATTCGATACGAGCGGCCCTAAGTAGCCGAATGGAGTGGCCAGAGGATCATTGACCTGTTGCAACTCAAGGTCTACGTGCCTACATATCGGCGGGAAGGTCCGAGATCTCCCTAAGCACAACGCTTGCATTCTGTCCAGACGAATGTTAGTTGAATATAACTAAACGTTTTGGTCGCTCGCAACTCCTGTATTATTATTATTAATAGGGGCAAAAGCAGGTTGATTTCTCGAATACGCCTAGACATCGTCCGCTTCAACTACTCCGCCTGCCCTTTAATTCTTTGACTGCTTACCTGACCTTTTCGACCGAGGCAACGACGACGGTGGGTAGAAGAGAGACTCTTCCTGTACTTTTAAAGATATTTTGCGAATCGACTATACGCCTTGCCAATCACTTCAACCTGGCGTGCGATTTCCGCGGAGGACTACGCTGTAGGATGAGTATCCAGTTATTCTTTGACGCGCTTGGGTTGGGCGGCAAAGAGTCGTAGCTATAGGATAGCGTCGCTGTACTGTACTTTCGTTCCGTCAGCACTCTTGAATGCTGCTCCAATTCACCTCAGTAGTTTCATGGAAACCACAATGTCTCCTGCAGACCAGCCGAAAAGAGGAACGACCATGACTGAGGCTGCAGATAGCCTTGGTGCAGCTGGACGGAAGATGAAAACCGTTCTCCTGCCACTGGCTATTAAAAAAGGAAGATCGATTTACAAAAGGTGAGATGAGTTGTGAGGCTGAAACTCTGTGCTGGCTGGGATATAACCACGATTTTGAGGCAATGTATGACGCACCATGGCACGCACTCAGCACGGCTGGAGGTCGATTATTGATGTCCAGTGGTCCAACTCGTCAACGACTGGCCCAGAGCCAACCTGGAAAAAGTCTGCCGCGCCTACTGGCAGAAAGGCGGATTGGAAGCTCGGCTCAAATTCTCGCTGGTCATCTCGCCATGCATGTTGTCTCAATCGCTAAGGGTTTCATATTTTTTTTCCCGACCTTGTTCGTTAGATTTCCTCCGAGAAGGGCCACAGTTTGCGCATCTCTTCTCGGGATTTCTGACCAGACATTCTGTCCACGTACAAGGCGAAAAGAGCTCGATTTTGTTGCTGCTTCTTCGCAAAATCCACTTCAGGGGGAATCCAGCCATCCGCATCGGTATCGAGATATTCCATCGCAAATGCTCTCGCCCGGTGCCGTTCTCTGAATTGTTCAAACTGCTTTGCGTGTTTCTGAATTTCTTCCGGACTGAATGCGTAGGGGCATTCGCCAGGCAAATTTACATCGTGCCAGGAATTGAGAATCTCGATCATGCACTTCCGTAATGGCGCAGGCCCTTCTGTCTCCGTTTCTCCACAACCAATGAAGAGCTCCCGATATACTCGAGGCAAGGTCATCGCATCGTAAGCATCTTTGTTGTCAAGAAGAGATCTGACTTCGTAGGCTTTGGCGATTGTGGCTTGCTTGAAGTCGTACTCTACCAATTTCATTTCATCATCATCCAAGTCTTCACAGTCGTCAGGGAACTTTGGGCTAACGATGCCAGCTGTGTAGTCTTTTGATGGGATGAGAAAAACCGGCCAGCGAACCTGTAAGAACATGGGAGCTATCTGTGCAAACTGCCAGTCGATAATAACTGAGATTTTTGAAGGGTCGTCCTCGGAGACAAAAATGTTGCCCAAGTGCAGATCCGGATGACAGAGGGTAGGCTTAGAATGACAGAGGAGGTCCGAATGGGAGCCTAGAATCTTCATGAGCTCCACGGTTTTTCTCTAGCAAAAGGATCTGTTCAGCAGCTGTGCCACGGTCGTTAACGACGTGAGCGCTCTCCGATTCCTGAGAGACGCGATAGATCTCACGCTTTGCTAATGCGGTTCCAAATTCGGGGAGAGAAAGCCCTGACGATGGGTCAGCCGTCCGCACGGGACAGAGAGTTTGTAAAGGTATACATACAAGGGCCAGATGCTAAATAACACGGTACAGTAGACCACGTGGGATCGCAGGAGCGACCAACACAATATGACCCGGATCGATCGATGTCTGTAGAAAGGTCCGTCTTCCCGTCACTCTCTGGAAAAGAATGGCGAGAGTATACGCAGCCATAGGTCGGGAACTTTATGGACATCAATTGACTCTCCCATTTGGCCAATTTCTCGATGATAGCAAGTGTGTTTCGTTCTTCAATTTGATCCCACACTTTGAAGAGCTGAACACCGGGAGCTTTTTCCATGATGATATACTCTGCCCCAACAGGATTCGAAACATCAGCACTCCAGGAATAAATGGATGGTACTGGGATGTCGGTATACTCTCTCACTTTGACCAGTCAGGCATCAGTCATACTTACAGCAACTTATGGTTTCATACCGTATTCCAGAACAGCAACCTCAGAGGCAGTCGTGTACTTTGCAAGGCCGGCATTGGGACATGAAATTTTCGCAATGAATTCTGTTCCGTTCTCTCTCTGTATGCGTAATACTTTGCTGAATCCGCCCTCTAATTTTTCGACTTCTCGAACACGCGATATCGAAGGGCCTATGGAGGCTGCAATAGCACAAAGTGTATCAGATCAAAATTGACACCACGTTGTTGTTTGTCTCTAATCAGAAATCGACCATTGGTAAATTGAAACAGCTCGTCTTGGCTGATGGATTTCCCTGAGAGCTGAGATCAGTAGGCTATTTCCTGGCAGTTCACGATGCTTACCACGGCACGTTAGAGAAATACTCTCCGGTGAACGCAGTGGAAGGGACTTGAACGTGATGAGACGACGTGATCTTGACAAGAAAGACATTGCTGGGAGCTTCGGCGCTGAAACGTAGACATGGTGTAAGATGGGACTTGCTATTAGCTGAAATCAGAATGAGCCTGGCTGAGCTGCAGCTTACAATGAAAGCGTGACATACTACTCGGTATACGAAGCTGAGCCAGGATGCATAATCAGGATGAGCGCTCGGTGTCGATATATTATACAAGTTACCTGGCAAGCCAACGTGAAAAGTAAGTGATGCAGCCTGACTCAAAACATACGCCGCATCCAACGTTGCCAAAGTAATTCATAAGCCTTAATAATGGCGTAGATAGGGGAGAGAGTGCCTCTATTTCCAAAGTAAACAGCGTCCTTGTTACCAATGGAAACCCCCAAGCCACCCCTTTTTCGATTCGGCCTTTGGAGCAGCCAGCAAGCTGGCAAGGCTGCCGAGGCTGATCTGTTACTGCCAAGCCTCGCCAGGTACCAACCTACTGTAGGCACGAGCGAGTACAGGTACTGGGCCCGCTGGGTACCGAGGTGCCAAGAAGGCATGTGCATGTCACGTGGCGGTGTTGAGGCATTTTTGTTCAGGAGCAAAGCCAACAGTGATGGCAGGCTTGATGGTAAACTCGCATGAAGAGACAAAGACCAAACCCCCGTGTATTTCTATGTCTATACCAGTGGCATCTAAGGTTGCCTCTAGGATTTCTATATCTAAGACGTAAAATGGGGACAGACATATCCAGTGACACGTAAACTCCTCTTGTATGCACCAGCACCGACACCAGCGAACTCCTTTTTCCTCGTTGTCCGCGTCCCAAGTCAGATCAAATCAAATCACTTCTGGCCGAGTTTCTTGAGCTGTTCGTTGATTCCTTTCAGTTCGCCAAGTCGGACCTCCTCGCCCTGGTGCAGGATGTGAAGGTGCTCCTGTTTCAGCCGCCTGAATTCCTCGTCTAGCCGTTCGTGCCATGGGTATAGAACGAAGACCTGGAAGCCCAGGGCAGAAGTCGCAATGACGAAATTCGTCAGAGAGACTCCTCGCGTGAATATCATGGTTGGTTGCGGTCCCAGAGCGTTATCTCGGAGGGGGCGGGGGGGTTTATACTGCCATGGCACTTTGGTTAAATACGTGAAATTTCCTCTGGGTTGACGGCCCGCGACAAACAAACTTACATGGATCCCACACTGCTCAGGGGACTTGTTTGTGAAAAGGTAAATGAAGCGTCAAAGTCTTGCGAGTCACGGACGACGACGTACTCAGAAAAGCGATTGAAATGAATACCGTGATTGTGGTGAATGATCGACAAGGTTCTCTCTCCCCCTCGAGGCCCGCTGGACTTCTAGGTATGTATTGAGAATAATGACTGTAAACTTTGAGAGAAACAAAGGGTGAAAAGAAAAGAAAAAACTAAAATTAAATGGCGAAAAAGACGACGTTCTTCTTCGTTTTTCTGCTTCGGGTGGTCACGAGACAAACAGCCCAGCCTGACGCTAGATCATTGATCGGAGGGCGAGAGGGAAAAAAAAAGCTACGAGTACAACCTACATGTCACTTTTGCTGTCTTGCCATGAGTCGATAGGTTGCCATGATTCGTTCCCGAGCCAGCGTTATCGGTTTGAGAGGTGAGAGTGAGATCCCAATCTATCCACATATGGTTTACTTTGGCACGCCATGTGGATGTCGCTGCCGAGGGATGCGGCAGCCTTGCTCCGATTTTCGGCCGTGGTTCGGAGTCAACCCGTGGGCGAATGGCCCTCTGACTTCAAAGCCAACAAAGGACTCCGTTACCTCCTATTACAACTATATGGACACCCCCCGCGGAGCAATGGAGATACCCACCCAAGAGAACTCTCGCGCTCCCACAGAACAATCTCCTCTCTGGGAGGAGACACATGCAAAAAGCCGAACAACAGCAACGATGGGATGAAAATGTGGAAACTTCCAGCTTCAAATACCAGGACTGACTGCCTTATTACTCACCTTTTATCGACATGAAGCCCCAACGATGACTCCCTCCCCTCGAACAATCGGGGTCCCAGATGGCGTCACTGCGCCATTATTTCTGGAGGGTTCTAGCCGGACCTTCCTCGACCTTCTAAGCTTTGCCCGCTGATTATTGTGTTGCATGACGCCGAGGCTTAGGTTGTCCAGTACACAGCCACAAAGGACATCCACATCCTGATGGCGACGGTTTGTGCTGGGCGTGAAGATGTCTACTTGTTGCTTGTACATCAACCATACTGAAACGTCTACCGCTGCAAGACGAATGCCCCTTTCGAACTGGAAGGCTGCGGTGAACAGAGTGGGAGTGGGGGCGTCGTCGACCCTCGATTGTTCAGCCGCGTGGTGGAGGAAAATGAACCCCACGCGTGCGCCATTTCGGATGGGCCATTCCTCAATCCTTCCACGGAGAACGGCGACAATCATTCTAAGTACATATGGATATGGGTATGGTATGGGTCACCAGGCATTGAAGGGAACAGCGTGCGGGACATTGTGGGCTCGCGGTGTGTATTTCCCTTCCCCTGGATCGTGTGAAACAACTCGAAGGGCGCGTATAGCTATAACTAGGTAGACACGGTCGAGACTGTGCTTGAAAGGTGGGAAGGGCGTTTTGGACGAAGAAGGTTCTGTGCTCAAGAGGAGCTGTCCGCGTGCGTGTCCGTGTGCGCGATCTGTCCCAGCCTTGCGGACTCCCCCAATGACGACGACGACGAAGATCCCCGTCAAAGAAAGGGATTGCGACAAACTTGAAGGGCACCTCGCGACTCCTGCCCGGGTGCGTTGACCTGCTTCGAAGGTGGCCCCCAGTACGGCGACCGACGCATTGGACGAATGCCTCTTGTGGATGCGGAGGGACTATGCATGTTACGGTGGGTGGCGAGGAGTTCTAACAGCTTGTCCCTCTCAGAACATCACTTTGCTGCTCGGAGGTTCTGAGGGCCTTTCAAGAGAAAAGATCATTTTCGCTGAAACCCTCACTCTATAACCCTTCGCTCATAGGATTCGTCATTCTCCTCCATCATGGAGGCTCTAACAATCTATATACAGCGGCCGTTCGGGATATCATCACAAGTCGAAGTCATCATTCCAACCCAATTTATCGTAAATATCACCTTCCTCAACACCCTCCGCCGGGACGTTCTTTTGTTCAACAGTCCCTGTTTCGTGCAGCCTCGTCAAGTCGTCAGGGGTTTGGGAACGCTGAAAGCTGTCATCCGTCATCATCCCGCGTCCCTTCCCACCCATGACTCGATCCATCATGTGACCAGCCTGCTCAGGAATCTCTGGCGCGTCGCGGAATACATGATCCAGTGGGACCTCTGACCGTTTCACTGGCATAAAGAGAACTGGACGGCGGGAGCGAGTCATGTGCATGCTTGGTACACTGTTGATCTCTTCATGACCGGCAAGCCGGGGTTGAGATGAGGAAAGGAGATTGAGTTCAGCCGAAGGCACGTCTTTTCTATCCAGGTCTGGTCGTTTGGATACTGGGGTCGCCACGATCCTTAAAAGGTCTGTCGCCTCAGCCGGAGGCGGATGAAAAGGAAGCAGGTTCAGCGGATTTGAAGTTTTCTCAATTCCGCGTGATGGCGTCTCGTGGATCGCAGCAAGGACTGCTCGTTTTGTGGTTGAAGATCTGGTGATGCTGTTTGAAGTTGGTATTCCGGGACGTGCAGACTGAGGCTTGATTGTTGACGAAGGAATCACCGTCCCCGCGTCGTGTTCCTGAATCATCAGCTTGGGCATTTGCGGCAACTCTGGCTCTTGCATGGTCTCCTTGACCCTCCGTACCCTCGGCGTTGCAGATATCTGGACTGCTGCTTTCCTCTCTTTCTCCTTGCTCTTCCTCTCCTCCACTTCGTCCATAAACATCCCCGCCACAGTCTTTCGGTTAGGCTTCTTAAGCGCATCAATCGCTGCCTCCAACTCTCTTTTTTGCCGCGCCAACCGGTCAAGCTTACGCCGTTTCACTTCATGCGCCTTTTGATCTGCGGCGAGGTCAATTTCTCGATTACTGAAAGAGAGTGACTTGGAGAGATTGCCTCCGCGAGAGACAGGCCTTTCCGAGGGTTCACGCTTTAGAGTTGGTATTATAGGGTTGTGCGTTATGGAGGCTGTCACGGAGGAACCGCGGGAGAAGATAGTTGGTGGGGAGACGTGGCGGTGGAGTTGGTGGTCTTCGCTAAGGACCCTTTCGAGAGTCCTTTTTGCAACGGGTCGGCCTGCTTTGGATTTTGTGAGCGAAGAGATTGAGGACGATCTGTGCAGGGTTACTGCAGGTGCCGGATGCTTGAATCGCTTGGGCGAAATTTCGGGTCCGCCGAGTTTACGACATATTGATTTGATTTGCTCAGGCAGTTTGGTCGAGTAGAATGGGAGGAGGACATCTTTGCAGAAGTCTTTGAGCGAGTCATTGGGTTTTGAAGACGTGTCGCTGCTGCTGTTTCGAGACTGGTCGTCTGTTGTAGAGAGCTCGCCAAGGCTGACGGTGTGCCAAATGCACAGACGATCGACGATGGTATCGATCTCGCTCGTCCAGTTGCGCCTCTTCTTCGTTTTAGGTGGCCTTTGAGGCGGCAAGGCCAAAAGCTCGTTGTTGTCGTCCTCGATAGATTCGACTTTCACGTCTGGATCTGTTGCGTACGCCGGATTCGTAGTCTCGGAGAGATGCGACTCTGCAATTTCGAGCAACATGACCTCCAACATCAGAAGCATTTGCATCTCACTTTCCCGCATACGTAAATCTGCGAATTCTTTCCGCATCTCCTCTGCTTGACCAATCACTGTCAGGCTCGCTGTCTTCAAATCTCTGCTGCGCCACCATTTTGTAATGAACTCCTCTTCGTCGGGCCACAGACCGTCCGGACCCAGCTTCGCCTTCTTCTTTCGTGGCTTTTTCTTCTTCTGAGATGCGTCTTCCCCGACGACACTTTCTCCCTCCTGTTCGATCACCGCTGGTGGCATTTCTTTGATGATCTTGACAAGGGATTCCTTGTATTTGTGATCAATTTTCTTGGCGGGCAAAATGCTTTGCTCATAAAACCCAGAGAGTTCAGATATCGCTTTTGCAGGATCTCCGCCCGAGCGTACGTGTGCTCGGGCCCGACTCAGTGGCCCTTTGACGTAGAATGCCAGTGAGGTCTTGGAAGCGTAGAGATGCTCAAAATATTGTGTACGGAGGCGCTCGGGCCGAGTGGTGTTTGTGTCAGTCAAAGAGTTTACCAACCCAGGAAGAGGTGTGGATACTGGAAGAAGAGCCTCGCTAAGCGGAGCAGTGTTGGAGGATGGGTTTTGCAGACCAATTCCTGCGCCGTTGGTGGCTGGTATTTGTTCTCCGAATACAGTTGATGGCGGAACTGATGATGGCTGGATGATGGGTGGAGAAACGGGCATTTGTGTTATCTCCTGACCGGCCAAATTATCCAAGGCAGCAATAGTTGGCTGCCGAGGAAGGCCAGGAGAGCTCAATGGGTCAGTGGGCTCACGGATAGCAGCGGAGTCCTTCGCCTGCAATATTGAAATCCTGGCCAAAGCACCGCGTCGATTTGTTGGTCTTTTGGGACTCTTTGGTGTTTGTAATGTTGTGAACCCCGACGAGGATCCTGCCCGCTTATGAGAACCCGGAGGAACGCCATCGCCCTCTTTCCGTAACAGGTCCTCCACTTTGACCTCAGCTACTTTTCCAACCGCAGCATCATAGCACCATGATTCCGACACGAAGTTGTGCAACGTGCATGCGACGTAGCTATTTGGGCCAATCCGCTCAACGGCGTGGAGTCCGCCATTAGGGACTTGACGGACGAGCAGAGTGCGTTGTTCCCATTCTTCTACAGAAGGAATAGTTGCTTCAAAGAACATGCTGCTAGTGCCACTGGACGTATCGAGCCATGCTAGGGGCAGACATGCTCGAGCCACAAGCGCTACCGGCGCAAATGTACGCGTAGCGTGTTTTGGAGAGAGTAGCTTTGCTGCGAAGACCTCTGGTTGCGAGCCATTACTGTCTGGCTCAGTATCACTGCTTTTTCTCTTCCTGTCGTGTATGAGGTTGGAGGTGTTAGACGCGGCGTTCAGGCTGCTGTCACAGGCTGGAACGAGTACTGGTCGTTGAGGATCCGAAAAGGATGTTGATTGCATATCGTGCCATCACGAGGGTAAGAGTATCCCTCGAGGCCGAGTCGTGAGTGAAGACAAAAGGTCGACGGCGGACACGCGGGACGGGTTGGAAAAGTGCACGCGATGGGAAATCCGGCTTGACGTCACGCGTCGAAAATGAGGCTGAAAGACAGCCTTGTCAGCCTTGGCTCGGCAGCCTTGTGGCCACTATTTATATACGAAGTATAAAGGTTCATGGGACGATGATAGCACTGATAGTAGATCAAGAGTCAAGATCTCGCGAAGGCACAGGTGGCACCTACGTTCTCCTCTCCAAGCAATTAAGATGTGCTTCGCAAAGGTCAGAGACTAAACAATAATTTATTAGGCACCAGCGATCGAGTTGTAGCCGGCCATGAGCTTTATGGCCAAGCTGATATTTTCCAAGTTGAGGAACAGCGCTCTATACAATGGCTATACATTCTAGCGCTATAGGTTGATGGAATCGATGAATACCAGTACCGCCTGAGAGCAATACAGCCATTCTTCATCCGAGAACGACAGCCAGAACCACAATCAACAAGACCACCGCTAAGATGACCAACAAACAACAAGCCTTGTTTCTGGCCGACTTCTGGTACCGGCTTGCGCTTCGTAATTCTGTATCAGCTCCCCGAGTGTCGGTTAATGTATTCTCGACATTGATATCAATAGCATCGATCATGTCGCCTTGGTCTCGGACTAAATGAGCGACGTCTCGGAATAGCTCGTTCAATTCGCCGACTGATTGCTCGATTTGCCGGATCTCCCCTTCTCGTTCGATAATTAAATTCTCTTGAAAGTCGACCTCGCTTTGTTCTGCGAGCCGAGGCTCTTCAAGCAGCTGTCGTTGTTGCCCACCTTCGCCTGATGGCGATTGGCCTGATTGAGCCTCCTCAAGAGCAGCTTTCGATGCTCGTTCTCTCTCTATGGCCCTTCTCTGAACCACCTGAAATTCGGAAAGGGCCGAGGCAAACTCTCGTGAGAGCTTCTGGTTTGTGTACCGTTGCGCAGGCTAATTGGGGAATTAGTGTCTTGTGAAATCACCGAATCAAGACTACTGACATTAAGATCTGGCCAGGTTTGCGCCTTCTTGACACCATCCCCAGCCTCTTTGAAGCCCTCTCTCGTCTCTTCCAGCAAATCATGTATCCTTTCTCGGCCTCTCTCGGTGTCCTTTTTGGAGAGCTGATTGGAAAGTCGCGAGATGTTTGAGGTCAGCTCAAAGAGCCGAGTAGACAGCGACTCGGTGAACTTCTGAAACTCGGGGTCATCTCTGTATTGAGGATCATCCTGCCGCCGGGTGGTGGTAGGTTGCGATTCTAGTGACGATAGTCTGTCGAACGACATGGTGTTCCTCACTCGTGGACGGTCCCTGGAATACTGTCGCGCTATCCGCAGGAATCACGCGAGGAGATGTATAACACAAATGAAGGTGGATTAATTGATCGCTGTGAAGGAATGGCGGAAGCCTGCAGAGCAGGAAGTGGTCGAAGGAAGTCACTTCGAATGCGGCACTTGCGAAACCAGCCTCCGCATCACGTGGACTGGCGTCATTCTCTCTAACACGTTGCCTGCGAGCCTGCATGCGCAATTTTGTTTACTACATTTTCCACTCCACCAGGAACTGCGCTTCCATTCCCTCATCCTCCTCATCTCTTGGAAACCTGCTACTTCGTCACCTGCAGCGCTCGCTGGTCGAAGACTGCTCCGCTATATCATGATCTCCTCTTCCTAGCCTTCTGTCAACAACAATGGCGGGTCCCGCTGCTGCCTCCTTAATCCCTCCCCCACGACCTTACCGGCGATTCTTGACCTCCGCTCTCCATAAACGATTTGTGCATGCTGCGCTCATCACCCTTCTCGCCGCTCTCCATAATGCCTTTTGGCTCGGTTCGAAGAAAGACTTCTTCTGGTCATGGTTCCCTTTCGGACCTGCTGGAATCAAAGCCTTGCTATTTTTCATGTCCAGCCTCTTCGTCTTCATCCTCCAAATAGCCACCCTCCACATCGGCAGACTGACGACGACTTCCCCTTTCGCGACCTTGCGAACGAACTTCCTTAGCGCATCTGCTATGCAGACGTTCTTTTGGTACTTGGTCTCGGGATGGTGGTTCACTGAAGCTTACATTTGGTCCGCTCCGGACCTTGGCTGGATCACAAGGGGAAACCATACCACTCCTGACGTTCTGAATGAGAAACCCATATTCTTCCGTCTTTACGCCTTAATTCTTGCGGTCGCATATGCAGGAGTTCATCTCTATCGCGGAAACTCATCCCTCCTCATCCCCGTCTCGAAATTACCGAGCACACCCACTCCTGACATCAAAGTACATGACACCCACGCGGCCGAGCCAATTCAGACGCGACTGCAACGCAAGTTGCTCCCTGTGCTCATGGAGAGTGCCACCGTGTCAGCATTTACCATCGTCGCAGCCCCTTTCATTTACGGCCTTTTTCTACGAAATGTCTTCTGGCAGCTACATCTTGCAATGGCAAAGCCGTTCTTCAACTTGTCAAGAGCAAACGCTCGACCTATAGGATATCCTCCCCTAGGGCCCTGGTATCTTTTCCGATGTTTCGGTGCCGGATTTCTTCTCATTCTGACATGGGAGCTGACTTCGGTCCTCTTCTTGATCTATCTCAATCAGCAACCCACAAAGTCTGGATTGCCTCTTTCTGCTTCTAGCAAAGATCCTAACGGAACACTTCTCAATGGATTAAGAGCCAAACGAGATGTCGTGAGGACCTTTGCTTTTTGGGAGTTGACGATCATTGCTCATAAACACAAGGAACGCCGAAAGGCCATTTTCGAAGATATTGAACGACCCACTGGACCAATGTGGAGTCAAATGGTACAGGCTGGTTTGCAAATCTTGCAAGAAGTACAAACCCGCATTGTCGGGCCTCCACCAGCAGTGTCACAGCCTAGCGCTGCGGACCAAATCAAATCTTTGCCACACATTGTTCCCGAATTGCCCACTCGATCAATTTTTCAGGCAAGCTCGAAACCAACCATGGGCGAAAGGCTACTGGCGAGTCCCTTGCGCCAAATTGGCAGCAGTAAACAGCCATGGCACCCACCTATCGAGCAGACGGCCAAATCAGTGGAAACAAAATTGCTCGAATACGCCAAGCCACCAGGCGTACCTCAGCCAGCAGCCAAAAGTCTTGCAGATCAATGGATGGTTGCTCTCAAGCAAAGCCGGGTTGGCTGGTTCTTCGTCTCCACAAATGCCGCAAAAATTAACTCCATGGTCCTCGGATCTCCGTATGGGAACGCTGCATTGATTGTCGATGTCATTGAGTCAGTTACCAAAATGCAGGTCGCCAGTCTCACTGAAGATACCTACGGCAAAGCAACTCCAACAGTGCCTAATACTGTTAAAACATTCACCAAAACCCTGAACGTTATCGAAGATTTTGTCTCAAAACACAAGGAAGGTGTTACAGATGAAATCGAAGAAGTTGAAATCATCACTGAAAGATTAAGGGCTGGGCTAAAGGAATTATTGTCAGCTTTCCAGGTATATTTGATTGATCAAGGTCTGGGTATTGCCGACCTCAATCAGGCAAAAAAGGCGGTACAGGAGCCAGGCCCCAATGAAGTGCAGGAAAAGCCTAAGCGGAAAGCCGTTGAAGAGACAGCTCCGAGGAGGCTCTTTCAAAAAGACACGCAAAAAGATGGTACAAAGGACAGGCACCGAATATCAGAGGATAAGATCCCGAGGTTGGAGCCTTCCGGATGGTCTGGATCCAATCCTCCAAATGGCCGTTTGTTCCAGAGAAGGGATATGGAACAGGTCAGATAGCACCAGACAAACAACGAAGATCAAGGATTTTCCACTCGTGAGCTCCTCCTTTTATGAGGCTAAGGGCTCACTTGAAATCCAACCCTTCACCTCAGGTGCTTCTCTTTTTTTCTGGCTTTCCTGCTGACTATCCCAAAACACACCTTCTGCCCCAGGAGGTCTTCCTTGTCCATCTTTATCATACGTACTCTCTTCTTGGCCATCTTTCTCATCCTTTCTTTCCACTTCCCAGACGTCCTCTCTGGCTCTTTCGCAGGCCTGACAGATTTCTTTCATGTTTTCATCGACCTGTCTCGCTCGTTCTCGCATGCCGCGTCTCAAGAGACCCGCAATGAGACGACCGACTTCGTCATGGAGGCCGTTCACGCGGTGGATTAACCTGCCGACGCTGGCAACGAGGTACTCTTCCTCGTAGACGGAGCCCTTTTTACCACGGGCACGCTTGCGCTCTTCGCGGCGTTTCGTCTTGGACGTTTTCCTGGACACGTTGGACGCCACCGTACCGCCGAACTTGCTCGCGTTGCTACCATAACGGGTGAAGAGACTCTGGCCGCCCAGTGTGCTGGCGTCCGTGGGTGCGAGGGAAATGTTATCCGGGATGTTATCGCCTACAGCAGCGCCACTACCGTCCGCAGTGATAGTGGTGGGATCACCCCCAAAGAAAGCCAAGGGGTCTTCCTCTTTTTTCTTGCGCAGCTCAGCGATGCGCGGGACTTGGGCGGTGAGTTGTGCGCGACAGTCTGCGAGGAGCTCGAGTATCTCGCCGACTTTTTCGCCTAGCCCAGCGTCTATGATCTGGTGGATTTCTGAAACTGGGTGGTTGTCAAGGGCGAGAACGCGCATTGCTTCAGCGAAATAAGATCCACGGCACAGGAGTTTTGCCGCCTCGGGGATATTGGAGAGATAGTCAATGTGGATTGTGGCTGCTGCTCGATAGTCGCGGTTCTCATCCATCAATGTTGTGGCCATACTCTGAGCAAGCGATTGAACCTGCGCAGCGGCCAGGGGTACCAGAGTCGCGCAGGTCAGTGCTTCCCGCCACTTGTGTGCCAATGCGTACAGCTTGTACGCAGCATCGTAATCGCGGAGGGATTCGTAAAGCGTAGCGGCTTCCGCATGGTGGGATTTTTGGGTTGTGAGATATTCAGCGTACATGCGCGTAATCTCTGTCAAATGAACTTGATTGTATTTGTACAGCTCCATTGCTGTGGTGTACAAGGAATGTTTTGCCGTGTAGATTACGGCTTCCTCGTGCTCCCCCATCGCATGCAACGAGACCAGTGCTTTGCTGTGTTTCTTGAGGTGATCGTCGATCGCATACCTGCACCTCAATTCCGGTAGTTCCTGGAGAGATTGCAGATAGGGCATGTATTCCCTTGGATCTCTCGAGTTGTCATTCTGCGCAACGAGGAGTGTCAACCCGAGATCGTAGAGGGACAGGGCAGCGTCGAACAGTAGGGATGGGTTGGGTGTGAGGAAAAAAAGGTGAGAGATTGCAACGTCCGCTTCTTCTTTTGATGTTTGAAGGAGGGTGGAGACCAGTTTTAAGGCAGAGGTCAAGTCTGGAGGGCGTTTGCAGACATGGGCCGTTATAATAGTTTGCAAGTAAGAGGAGGGTTTTGAAGACAGGATGGAAAGGAACGTGTTGGCGATCTTATTGATTTTGCTCCCCAGAACGAAGGTGGGTTTTGGATTGGATAAGGATCGTGCCTGTGGGTCAAATTGAGGTTGTAATGTCGTATCGCGGTAGAGTGTCTGCGTGACGTCCTCATCCCTGAGTTTCGAGAGAAAACCATCCACCCGGCTGGGCGTCCGAAGTTGATCGATGAATTTGGGCACGTTAGACAAAAAGGTGTCTGGATCATAGTCATACAGAATGTTCATATCGACTTGGTGGGTTTGGCAGGCCAGAAAAGCAGCAAGGTAATCCTCCTGCTTAAGATGCCTGCGTATTCCCGAAAGAACTAGCAGACGTGGGTAGACGGTCTCGAGGTTTCCGCGCGGCATCTGGAGAACCACAGCGTAGATGGACGGGATAGCTGTCACGATCCGTGCGCCTCTTTCGATGTTTCTGCACCGTTCGTCGATCTCTGGCGTGTCATTGGGGATTTGCATTGCCGAAGGATGAGTGATATGAACGAATTTTAGGAGATGTGAGGATGTGGTGAAGATTAAGTGTGTGGAGGTCAATATATAGGACGTCACTTCGCGGACGAGGAGCGTGTCGTCGATGTAAAGGTTTCCCTTGAGCGATAGGGAGACCTTATGGTATTCCGGAGCGTGGCCGTTCATCTCATCGTTCAGTTGAAAAGATTCGTCGTTGTGGAGCGTAAAGATGGAGCTGTTGGGCTGACTACCGCTCAGTTTGATCTTAGGACAGCCTGAGAGTGGGACTGTGGCATTCTCACACGGATCGGTCGCGAAAATAGACTTGGAAAAGCTGTCTGTTATTAGGCTTTCAGAACAATCAGGCGCAGGAACTTGCTCCCAAGCGCTGCATGACCTTTCGTGCCACTTTAACTTCCAACAAGACGCCGTTGTCCTTGATTGCATTGGTGCGACAACAAATATCTCGTCACCTCTGATGGTCACCTGAGTATGATAGAGAGGGTCTGATTGTGTCTTCAGGCTCGGAAGTTGACAGGAATAGCGCTCGACCGTAGTCATAAATATCAAGTCGCCTTTACTGTTAGCGCGGGTCTTCCATTGGCATAGCTCCAGGGTATCTGTCGTTAGGACTGCGATTCGTTGGCCATCCTGACTGATGGCGCAGTCAATAATATTGTGGCCAAAGAGGACCTCACAGAAAGCCATGGGTGGTGGAACTCCGGCTTGTTTGAAGGGGGTGAGCTTCAAGGTCCTGCCGTCAATGACTCCGACGATGCCATGATCTTGGGGAGGGATCAAGCCACCCCTCGAAACTGCGGAAAGGAATGTGATGTCGAGGAGCCTCTTGGTGTCACCGCAGGTCGTCCTCAAGGGTGTTTCGGGATGCCATCTTAGTGGCGAGTTGCTTGATGGTGAATGGAATAGGAACTCTTGTTTCAGATAGTAGTGATAATTCCCCATCGTCCAAAACTGTACCCGGTCCTTGAATGCGACGGCCAAAACTGTCGAGTCTGTGTTCCATAAAAGGGAAATGCTAGACGCCCAATCGCGCATTTGTTCTTTTGTCATTCTAAGATCGAATTGACCATGACGGAGCCCGTTCCTCTCAAAGAAGATAATCTCAATCCTATCCTCGGATCGCTTCACACTGGCAATGAGATTCCCTGAAGGCTTCCAGCTTAATGCAGATTCCATACCGTCGACCGGTTCACTGGCACTGTCCAGGACAGCCTCGCGCGTGAAGACTCGAATAACTCGGCGATGATTAGGTACCACGCTGTTTATGGCCAGGAATTGCCCGTCCCCTCGCCAACTGACCGTGACTTTGCTATCCTCATAAGGACTTGGCTTGCCCTCGTCAACCTTTTCCGGCATCGTAGGATCTCGCATAGCTTTTGCGCGTCGGCCTTGGAACTGAGTCTCCTTGTGGCCCCAGCCAACTGACACATGTTTGGAAACCTTGAGGTCTTCCGGCGATAGGGTACCTTCGTTGAGCAGTTCGAAAGTCCTACTCATCAGAACGAGTGTATCCGCACGGGTGACAATGGCCAGTAGTTCTTCATCCGGAGCCCAAGCAGCCGCACAGATCCCGACGTCGACGGTGCCGACGATTTCGATCTTCTCCTGGTCAGGGTTTGGATCCTCACGCACAACCACAACATCTCCGCCAGCAAGGACAAGGCAACATGTTGCAATGTCCGAGAAATATTGGAGATGCAGAATCTGATCGCATTCTAAGTACGGCAGTGGGCATGGAGAGTCCCATGAAGTTATAGTCACGAATTCACCATGACAAGACGACGTGTCCACTCTTCTTTTGAGCTCGATGACGGGTTGTGTGGCAGTTGGTCCGAATGCACAGATTATTGCATCCGTCGCTGTGTCCCATGCTGTGGCTGTTAGTGGCAAACCTTGCGGTAGCTGAGTCTCACGATATGCTATTGTCCTTAGATTCCGCATCGCGACGACCAGGGAGGCGGCATTTACATCGCACGGCCTGATGGTGGACGGAAAAGTTGAACTGTGCCCAGCGAGCCAGGTATGTACGAAAATATTTGACGAAATAAATTTACGGGACCATTACACGAATTCTGATTGGACAGCCTTCTGTTCCTTCCTGAGCATGACCGACAAGGCAAACCAAGTTGCCAACGGCACAAGGCAGAAAGACATCTCCGGAACGAAAATTGGGAGAGAATAGGAGCGAACGGACATCCAAGATGGCGACTCTGATTTTATTTCTGGCTCTGTACAAATTCCGGTTGCGGGAGTGTCATTCCCGCACCGGTTCCTCACGCGATTCGACAGCCCACTCTAGACTCCATGCTCTCCGATTCTCTCAAGCCTTGTATGTGTGCCAGACTGTACATGTGTCAGTATATCTCTTCAAAATGGGTTGTGGTAGACGGTTACCGGCCAAGCCGAACGGAATCCCGAATCCTGTGACTGTACATGATTTAGTCTCGTGCGTCTCTCAAGCTCCAACGCTCCTCTTACGCATGAAACCCCAGTATCGCAGCCAAAAGAATCTCGTCTTCGTATTGAACGGCAAGTTGGTATAAGGTCCTTCAGGGTAGTGATAAGGGCTGAACTGGTCTGCTCGACGGACGGTGGAGGAGAAGCCGCGGCGGGCGAGGAGTTGGGTTGCCGTTCTGGCGCGGAGGACAGCTTGGGCGTTCATCTGGAGAGTGCATTAGTAGGCTCCCACAACATAATGCGTGCGTCATACCTTTGTCTCTCTCTGTCGCGCTCCAGCAATGGTGGTGTTGGTAGTGATGAACAAAGGTGAAGTGATGTCGGTCTCAATTGATCGAAGCTGCAGTTTAGGAGCTCTCCACTCAGTCCACTCACTGCTCAGTCCACTCGACTTGGCGAGGTTTTCGGCGCACCTTCCATTTGTAGACTGCACATTATTTCTCCGGTGCCATCTCGCCCTGCTCGCCGCAATGTTTTTCACCGTCGACAGTTGCGACGCTCTCTTCACGGCCGGGCAACATCCAAGCCTTCGCAAAAATGGATGAGCTGTTTGACGTTTTCGAAGAAAACGGCCAGGCGCCGCCTACCACGTCACTCACGAAAGCACAAAGAAAGCGGTTGAAGCGACAGGCCAACGGCGAAGTGAAAGACGATGCCGACGGCGGAGAGGCACCTGCCCCCTCTAGTGACGGGACTTCCTCCGTGTCGGAAGATGTTGACAAGGAGATGACGGATGGCGAGGCCCCAGATGTCAAACGCATGCGCATGGAAGAAGAGCCAGAACCTGTTGTCACGGATACCTTCGAGACCGAACAGTCGAGAGAAGTCGCCGCATCCGCTGGCCTGCTTCCGGGTAAAGAAGAAGAGAAGGTTATACTGTCGCATCAAGTTCGTCACCAAGTCGCTTTGCCCCCAGACTATGACTACGTGCCCATCTCAGAGCACAAACCACCTGCAGAACCTGCTCGGACGTGGAAATTCCAGCTTGATCCCTTCCAACAAGTCTCTATTGCCTCGATTGAACGAAATGAGAGCGTCCTTGTCTCCGCTCACACCAGCGCAGGCAAAACCGTGGTTGCCGAATATGCAATCGCTCAGTGTCTCAAGAACAACCAGCGCGTCATTTACACCAGTCCCATCAAAGCACTGAGCAACCAGAAATATCGAGAGTTTCAAGCCGACTTTGGTGATGTTGGTCTTATGACCGGAGATGTCACCATCAATCCTACAGCCACTTGCCTAGTCATGACCACTGAGATTCTACGGTCAATGCTCTATCGTGGATCCGAGATCATGCGTGAAGTGGGCTGGGTGATTTTTGACGAGATTCACTATCTTCGAGACAAAGTTCGAGGCGTTGTGTGGGAAGAGACAATCATTCTCCTGCCAGACAAGGTTCGCTATGTGTTCTTGTCCGCGACCATTCCGAACGCCATGCAGTTTGCTGAATGGATCACAAAGACCCATAACCAACCGTGTCACGTTGTCTACACAGATTTCAGACCAACCCCACTGCAACACTACTTCTTCCCTGCTGGTGCTGATGGGATCCATTTGATTGTGGACGAAAAGGGAGTGTTCCGCGAAGAAAACTTCCAAAAGGCTATGAGCTCCATTGCCGACAAACAAGGTGACGACCCCGCAAATGTCTTGGCCCGAAGGAAGGGCAAAGGAAAGGACAAGAAGTTGAATAAAGGAGGCACCAAGGGTCCCTCTGATATCTACAAGATTGTCCGCATGATCATGACAAAGAACTACAACCCGGTCATCGTCTTCAGTTTCAGCAAGAGAGATTGCGAGGCCTATGCCATTCAAATGAGCAGCATGTCCTTCAATGAAGATTCGGAGAAGGCCATGGTCTCGAAAGTGTTTGACAGCGCTTTGGAAATGCTTTCGCCCGAAGACAAGAATCTGCCGCAAATCCAACACTTATTGCCATTACTGAGGAGAGGCATTGGCATCCATCACTCCGGCCTGTTGCCGATTCTCAAGGAGACCATTGAGATTCTTTTCCAGGAAGGATTGATCAAGGTTCTGTTCGCAACCGAAACATTCTCCATTGGGCTCAACATGCCAGCCAAAACTGTTGTCTTTACCAGTGTTCGCAAATTTGACGGGATATCACAACGATGGATTACGCCATCAGAGTTTATCCAGATGTCTGGCCGAGCGGGGCGTCGTGGACTTGATGAGCGAGGGATTGTCATTATGATGATCGACCAACAGATGGAACCTGGAGTGGCCAAGGACATCGTTCGTGGCGAGCAGGATAAATTGAACTCTGCCTTTTACCTTGGTTACAATATGATTCTAAACCTGCTTCGGGTCGAAGGCATCTCTCCCGAGTTCATGCTTGAGAGGTGTTTCCATCAGTTCCAAAATACTGCCAGTGTCTCTGGCCTTGAGAAAGAACTACAGCAATTGGATGCAGAGAAGTCAGCCATGGTCATCGAAGACGAAAGCTCAATCCGAGCCTACTATGAGCTTCGTAAACAGCTTGATGTCTATGCCGAAGACATGCGCATGGTCATTATCCATCCCAACTACTGTCTGCCTTTTATGCAGCCGGGTCGTTTGGTCGAGATCAAGGATGGAGAGTATGATTTTGGCTGGGGTGCAGTCCTGAACTTTGTGAGAAGAAGCCAAGGCAAAGCGACAGAAAGGTTAACTCCACAGGAGGAGTGGATTCTCGATATTGCGTTGGAAGTTGCGGAAGGCCCTGCTCCGGCAACGAAGACTTTTCAGCCTCTTCCACAAGGAATTCGTCCTCCTCAGCCTGGTGAGAAGTCCAAAGTCGAAGTCGTCCCGGTGCTTCTCAAATGCGTCCAAAAGATCTCTCATATTCGCATATTTCCTCCTGCCGACATGACACTTTCCGAGGAGAAGAAGAAGGTGCAACAGTCATTGGCAGAAGTGAAAAGACGATTCCCCGACGGCCTGGCCGTGCTGGATCCAGTGGAGAATATGAAAATCACCGACAACTCGTTCAAGGATCTCCTTCGCAAGATTGAGATCATGGAGTCTAGGTTGGTGGCTAATCCACTGCACCACTCTCCTCGCCTTGAAGGCCTTTACAACCAGTACGCGGCAAAGGTGGCACTTACCAACAAAATCCGAACACTGAAAAAGCAAATTCAAGATGCACATGCAATCATGCAATTGGAAGAGTTGAAGTGCCGAAAGCGAGTTCTCCGCCGATTGCAGTTCATCAATGAGGACGAAGTGGTCCAGCTCAAGGCTCGGGTTGCTTGTGAGATTAGCACTGGCGATGAATTGATGCTTAGTGAGCTTCTTTTCAACCGATTCTTCAACGACCTGACGCCGGAGCAATGCGCAGCTGTCATGAGTTGCTTTGTCTTTGAGGAGAAGGTCAATGAGGCCCCTGTCTTGCCTGAGGACCTTGCGAAGCCTTTGCGTGAGATCCAGAGACAAGCCAGACACATTGCTAAGGTGTCGGTGGAGTCAAAGTTGGCTATGAACGAGGAAGAGTATGTTCAAGGGTTCAAATGGCAGCTTATGCCGGTAATATATGCTTGGGCAACTGGAAAATCATTCGGAGAGATTTGGTGCGTTCGGACAGCTGTTGAGGGGTGGCAAATGCTGACTTTGAGGATAGCAAAATGACCGATGTGTACGAAGGTAGCTTGATCCGAACTTTCCGCCGACTCGAAGAAGCATTGCGTCAGATGGCCGAAGCCTCGAAAGTCATGGGAAGCGAAGAATTGGAGAAGAAGTTCGAGGAGGCATTGAACAAGGTAAGGCGAGACATCGTGGCGGCTCAGTCACTGTATCTCTAGGTCCGACAATACCGAGTGAGAGCGACGAGCGCCTTTCTTGAAACCCCATTCAGTACCTGTGGGAGAAAAGTTTTTGTGATTGCACGATACCCACGGCTTTGTTAGTAGACATGCACAGATTCGTGGCGCTTGATATGGCGGACCAGGTGTGATGCTGTTGCCTGAGGCCATGTCTGTGCTGGGGACGGTGTCATTTCATTTTCAATGTTGATGAGGAGGCAAATCATGGCGCCGGAAGGGCTCTACGCACATAGCTTCCTCTTTCCCTTCTCTTCACACATTTCAATTCAATGCACGTCACCTCACTCTTGCCTGGCAGTGGCAGGAGGCGGCGCAGGACACAACACCCAACTTGAGCACTGACGTGTTCAACTGGGTGATGGTAATGAAAGACTGCTCTGGGATGGGTTCCTTTGTGCAATTCGCTCTGGGCCTCGTATTCCCTTTGTCTCCTTCGTCTTAATGCAGGTTGTTCAAAGAAAAGTTAGCCAGCTGCATTGCATGGAGCCAGTCTTCGCTTGATCAAACGAGCGGGTATGGATTGGGCAGCGACCAGCACCTTGCCTTGGTTGTAAGAGAAGTGGCTGCCTAAAGGCACTTAGAGGCAACTAAAGGCCTTAGTCCAGAGGCCGGCAACAAATCAACAGGCCCGAGGCTGCCCCCCAACTGGCCCGTAAGTGCCCCGGCAGGTTGATGGCCTCCGCCTAACAGGCCTCCAAGCCCTTGTATCATTGGCACTTCGACCCGCTGCTGCCACTGCTGCCGCTGCTGCCACTACGGCCCACGGCCACTGCGGCCACCAGCTGCCACAGCAGTGAATGACAAACTAACCCTCCACTCAGACTCCCAAACTTGGACTTTCCTTCATCACATCACATCCACATCACCACACCTCCCCCCGTCTTCCAGCTCTTCACCGCTGCTCTGGCTACTGTGAAAACCATCAGAGCAACGCCTTCTTTCCCTAACTATCATCTATCACATCTTCATCCTCAAATCTTAGAGCAAACACCTGTCGTCTCTGCTTGACTTGGAAATAAACAGCGCACCTCGAGATCATCGGGCCTCCAAAGGCCAGAGCCAAAATGAATAGCCTGGCCACGCCTCCCGTCCCTCCTCACTTCCATGAACACTCTCGTCTCTCTCCCAACAGATCGAGTGAGCTGCATCCGTCAGGTTGGATCTCTCGCCGCCCACTAACCGCCATATCAGTGTCCGCCTCTGGTCCTTCTCGGAAACGAAAAGCCTCACCCTCACCCGATCGAGATGATGAAATGTCAACTTCGCCTTTTCTACCAAACGCCCGACTCCCTCCTGTTTCTACACCTGCTTCACGAAAACGAGTCCGTCCAAATCTGGTTGGCAGGCCTTTATCAGTGGAAAGACTCCTTGAAACGCTGGACAAGGATTCTCTGACGTCGGTGCTGAAGACTCTGTGTGAGAGGCATCCAAGCCTTCGAGATGAGGTTGTCCAAATCAGCCCTCGACCCAGCATCCAGAGCACCCTACAAGTCTTGCGTCAATATTATACACGACTGATGAACTCCTTCCCTCTCGGGCCCAATCCCCGTTCCGATTATTCCTACGATCGTGTACGGCCTCAATGGCACGAACTCCTCGATGCCCTAACTGACTTCACCCCTCATTTTCTGCCGCCAAATGAACATCAGTCATCTACCTCGCTGGAGTATCTGAATGATGTTACCCAAATCATCCATGATCTCCCCGAATGGGACAACCCACAGCACAATCTCGCCAAACAGAATGCCTACGAGGAAATTTCAAAAGCATGGGCTAGTGTCATCAAAGAGGCTAGCAAGAGAGGTGGAGGCTACCAACTGCAATTCAATGGGTGGGAAGACAAACTCCGAGTGCACAATGAGAAGAGTGGTGGTCGGCTGAGGGAAGCGTATGATGAGTTGATGCAGGCCCTCGGCTGGCTAAGACAAAATAACCAACCCTCACAGCAACAAAGCATTCGACAACAACTTTTCTCCAACACATATGGAATGGAACAGCCAATGATTCGAACAGGCAACTGGTGAAAGAGGGACCGGAAACAGCCCATCAGGTGAAACTGAAGAACGAAACTAGCATACAATTGCATCCAGGGTCACGGATACACGTCACACCGTTATGAATTTCCTTTGTTTCTGGGCGGTGGGAGGCATGGGTGCATATACCTTGGGTTAACGACTTGAAACGACTGATATTCGAATTCATCCCAACTTTCACGTTGGCTCTTCCATTTGTTTTGCGGGTTCTGGATGCGTAATTAAGAACATACATATCAGTCAGGGACAATCTCTTGCATTGACACCTGCGTTCGATTCGGAGGTTGAGGGATATTGCATAAGGTGGCAATGAGAGGAACATATGATGTTCAGGATTCGGCGTGGAGGAATTCGCTCGAATTCCCGACCAAGTCACTTATCCATGCCACCATCCGCTGGTTCAAATGCGATTTACCTTGCCTCCTCTTCTTCCTATGATACCAACTCACAGCCACGGGACAGGGACAGGAACAGGATTAGGGTCAAGGAAGCATCATTATCCACCAAATTTTCACGGAGGTTGTGGAAAGGTCGAGTGAATGGGAGTTGTACCTAGTCAAGAGATAGACTTGAATTGACTTGAGATTTGTATACAAGTATAGGTACCTCTACTTTCTCGAGTGACGGAGCTTACCCATACTCTACCACTATAATACAATATAAACACTACCTTTGTGGCGTAAGGGTATCGTCCAGCTTTCCCTCGCTTTTGTTGGAACATATTTCCGGTCTAGACCCATCCGTTCGAGGTCATCTCCACCCAAACAACTGTTCCGCCCTCATCCTCCATCCCTCCATCGTGTTCAGCTTCGGCCGTACATCGAGGTAAAAGTTCAAAGCATTGTTGCCTTGCTTCCCGTTCTGGCCCTCGCGTGGGGCCTTGCCCTGGTAGAAATCGATGACATATTCGACTTTGGTCCCGTCGCAACGCTGGACGACCCAGTCGTGGCGATCAAAGGGCTCGGTGTAGCCCCAGAACGCGTTCCAGCGGGCCTTGGGAGACCTTGCGCCAGCGCCTAGCCCTTGAAAGGAGAGCAGTTTGGGGCCGCCGCAGGCGTCCGACGTGCCCTTCTCCCACCGCTTGATCAGCACCCAGGCCTGTTCGTTGACGGCGTTGTGGATCGGGATGATGGCCGAGACCGAGGCGGCCAGGGCCGTCGGATTTGTTGACGATGATGCCGAGGAGGGAGAGGACATGGTCTGTTGCTTGCGCATCACCGCGTGGAAGAACTGATGCTCCGACGGGTAAATCCAGTTGCCGCTCTCGGAGGCGCCGGTCTCGGACTCGGCGTTTGCTGGTATGTTTATGTTTGTGTCTATTCTTCCGCTGATGCCTGTGTTCATGCTTGTCGTTGTAGTTGTCGGCGTGAGAGAGGGTGGTGCTTGGGTGGATTGCGGGAAGGCGCGTGGGATGGAGGAGACGACGCGGCCGTGTGAAAGCGGGCGCGGTGTCTGGTAAGCCGACTGAGTCCCGAGACTATGGTCCTGCGAGATGCGGTCGGAGGAGCATTCTTGCGATGATATCGTTGTCGGATTGGGGAGCAGAGGGTGTGAGGCCGGTAGGTAGGAGGATTGTGTTTGCCTTTGCGTTTGTGGGTGTGTTTGCGGGTGCGTTTCTCCCCCTTGTAATTGTGACTTCTTCACCTGCTGGGCTTGTTGGAGCCATATTTCTCGCGTCTTTGGGTCAACGGGACAGGCTGAAGCCGAATCCGCAGAGAGCTGTGGGTGGTGTAGAGCCATCGAGGATTGTGAGGATGGTTGTTGAGCTGCTTGGGGTGCTTGAGGCTCCGAGCCAGGGTCTGCTTTCCACCAACCCATTGCTTATAGGTAATCTGTGTTTGTGTTTTATGGTATATATTAATTTACCGGAGCTGGATGCAAAAAAGGCCTGTACTCCGTATAGCAGTGATCGAAGAAAAGTTTCAATGAGAAGGAAGCTAGCGCACTGGAGATTCGAGGATGCGGGGGCCGCAGCCTGCTGAGCCAGATCGCAGAAAATATGGAGCGAGACATTGACTTAGCTACTAGTGGTATGTAGTCAGCCTTGGTTCCCCCTCGATAGCCAGCCTTGCTTGCCCTCCTTCGATCTCATAAAACAGCTCTGCCCAACCGTTTTTTCATAGACCAGAACCGATCAAGATCACTCAAGCATGTTCTAAGGCGATTTAGTTCTACGTTACTCTGTCTTACTGTCAATACTCGAGACAAATGTGGGGTCCAGGCGTACACCTTTGACGTGAACACGGAATAAATGCGTTGAAGAAAAAAGCACGGTATTGGAGAAGTCAACGTCAAAATGATCTATCTCGTGAGGCTCTCCCCCTTCCGACCTTCGTAACAGATGCCGGTAAAACACAAACTCGACCATGTCGCAAAGACACAGGGTGAGATCTTGGGAATTACACCCCTTATCATCAACAGTGACACACATCATCTGCCCACATGAGAGCCATTCTTATCCCTTCTTGCCAGTGGACCGGATGAACGAGGCATAAAACATGGGCAATCCCTGCAGCGGATCTGGAAATATCGAGTTCTCCGCCGTCTCCTTGTACACGGGGTACGTTCTTCCATTCACAGTTACTGTGCCTACTGGATGAACTTGCATTTCATTGTCGTCGGCGTCACCTCCATTGCCATGTCGATTCGCTCCACGAGCTTCTCAAGCTGACGATTGAACGTCCCATGAGATGACGACTGGGGTCTGGTGCTTTTGGGATATCATTCGCACTGAGATATTATAAGCCGAGACCCATTTGACTTAATACTTGTTGTGAAAGGGTCCAGGGACCTAATACTGACCTGAACCATTCAACCATCCCCATTCCTCTGCCAAGAGGGTCAGAGTCCTCCAACTTCGCTCAAAGTTGGAGATCCTCGTAGCGTCTTCAATCTCGAGCGGTTGTCGTCGCTGGTGCAGCGGAATTCCGGTCACCTCGGCAGTATCTGTCTCGTCGTTTGGACTGGCGGCGTGGGCAAAATCAGCGCGCCAGAAGATGGATCCAGTCTTATCCGCCGTGATGGAGAAGCGGATCCATTCCTGATCTATCTCTCTACCCATGATTTTGTGGAAAGAGAGCACTGGATTTACTGATCGTTTGACTGTCTAGACGGGTAGGAAAGGGAATAGGAAGATTAAGAAGAACTCAGAACCTTTACATCTTTCATTAGGGTCGGCCCAGGATGGGTTTATCCTGGGACTAAGTGCCAATCGCCTGTCCATAATCACCAATTCAGCGCGCAAACGACCAGCGTGCCACCCCTGCTTTAGGAAGTGACGTGCTGCCGGATTTGTCCATAAATACGAGAAAGGGTTAGAAACCACCCTCGCAGTGGTGCCTAACAGCGATGATGCAAAGCAGAAAAATTTCTACTCGCCATCGACTGGAATTGTTCGACAAATTGCCCAACATCCTCCTTAGATGAGAACTTCAGCATGGTGTGTGAATATGGGGGCGAGAGGTTTTACAAGTGACACACTCTAGCAAGACTGGGTGAGTGGCATATCAGAGGCCGGGGCGGACCCCTATACTTGTAAACATCAACGACGCAAAGCTCCTCATAACATCAGTTTGTGTACGCCATCCAACTGACCGTATAACTACGTAATTCGCTTCTCAAGAAATTCAGACCCGGGCAAATGACCCGGCATCTCATACAGACCTTCTCCAACCTGTCTGCCGGGCAGATATGAGGCCTGCGAAATGCCACGCGAAGTTGGACTTTCTTGCACTTCAACGGGCATTTCTTGAGCTCGTTCATTCGCCTTGTGGCCTGGTGTAGCATGGACCAATTCCTGAGATTGAGGACTTCCCAGACTCCGATGTTTAGGAATACTCCCTTCCACTTCCACGGACATCGGTCGAGTCCATGCTCGCTGGCTTGCCGCTGGACTCATAAGCGAAGAGAATTCTCTGGATTCGTTACCAACCAGCTCAGATGCGGCGCCAGAATGACTGGGAAACCCGTCCGCCAAGCCATCGAGTTGACCGTCTTTCATCGCAGAGAGCACAGAGCTTGGCTGGGTGACGGTGTCTCCTTGCTTCAATTGCCCTCGTTTCAAGCGACGGATATAGAGCGCCATGGCAGAGATCACAGCTAAAGCTATAAGGCCACCAAGACTCACGCCAACGCCTATTCCAATTTTTGCGCCCGGGCTCAAGCCTGTTCCGTCGTGCGCGGATTCAAGGGCTGGATTACTAGATGCAGAAGCCGCAAAAGGTATGCTGGTTGTGGAATACAATGTGATCGTGTGGGAAGTCGAGATAGGGGTGTCTGAAGAGCTTGTCATGGAAGTTGAGATAGGAGTGCTCGAGGAGCTACTCGTTTCTGCAGAAGTGGAGGCTGCTGTGCTGGTGACATAGGTGCTTAGGCTATATCCGTCGAAGAGGCTCATAGTCCCGCCGCTTGACAAGGGCAAACTGATGTGTGGCGCTATAGAGGCCGGAGCAGAAAAGGCTACATTCCGCAAACTCTCATCTTCTGGACAGAAACATCCCGGCCAAGGAGTGACTGTGTCACTCCCTGAGCCCGAATCATCGCATAGTGTCCACTCATCTGAGGTGCCGTTGCAATAAACTAGGCCTGTCCACTGTTGATCTGAAGCGTACGTTAGCGAGCAAAAGTACCGCTGGCTCACTGAGTTCGGCCTACCATTATAAGGGGTCTTATCTGGACACGATGGATCCGAGTATGTAGGATCTGTGCAACCCGCAAGATAGGTGTTTCCATCTGAAGAGATTAAAAGTGCTCTGGCAAATTCCGCCCTTCAAGACTTACCATTCGAGTAGCAGGCATTATGGGCCAAGCAGTTGGATCCAGCCTCACAGCAAGTAAAGATGCCAAAAATTGTGTTTCCGCATGGTATGTAGCTTCGGTCTGCCTGGTTACCCGGCGAGTAGTAGCAGGTACCATTGGAAATATTGGGGTCAGGTTCTAACGAGTCCCGCGCGACGTTGTTGGCGTGCGCGATCGATGATCGGGCGAGCGCGAGGATGCCTATACCAACGAATTCGACTTCTTGAGGTCCCGCCATTGCTTATGAAATGTTGGTCGTCGCTCAGATGGTGACAAGTGGCTTCAGCAAAGGAAAATTAGTAAAAACAGATGGAGCTTTGGACTGCTTGCAAGACTTCAAGGAGTAGACTCGGGAAAACAGACGCAGACCGCGACTAATTAGACGCAGGGCCACGCCTCATGGTCCGTTCCAGCTGCAGCATGACGGAAAGACAGATTCGGCATGGTCTGCTGGCGTGGTGGTTCGATCTAGAGTCGAATCCATGTCTACGAAGCGACAGAAAGGAGATTGGTGTCTGTGAGTGTCTGCGGACACCCAGGTGGAGGGTTCATGTGGCGCAAGACGGCTGGGGTCCTGGCCATGTTCCTTGCAATGTTCCTTGCACATCATGGCTTGCAGCTCCAAAAGGCAAGTCGCAAAGAATCAAAAACAAGAGCAATTGGGGCGAAAGTGGACCAACGCCCCGTGGTCATGCAGGATGGCTTGACCAGACGGCGCACTTGTTGTTCGCGCGAGTAGCCTTGAGCTCAATGTTTGATTGCCTTTTCAAATCGGGGAGATCAGGAGTACAAAAAGCGTTCAAGGAGATGTGCGAGAGGGCTTTCGCGAGTTTGGTGACTCTTTAACTGGATTGTAATGCTTCGAGGATGGAAATACTCAATACAATGCTATGTTTTGACCACCCATGTGGTCCCCAGCTGGCGCCAACCTTGCCGCGCCATACTGCTCGCCAGTAGCGAGCACGTGAGCAGGGGGCAGGCTTTACTCATTTCGGCGTCGCACTCCGCAATTTCCCCAATCATCGAATCTTCTCAGAATTGAGTTGCATCTAGACAATACCTCTTGGTTGAAGTCATATCACCCAGCCGCAGTCATGCCTAGCTCAAATACTGTCTACCGGGCAAGTACTACAGCCCCGGTCAATATTGCCGTGATCAAGTAGGTACGCCAAATCCCCCTCAGCTCTCACCCTTCCGTCTCATGTGGCAACAACCGGGGAGGTCAAAGAACAGACGCTAAATATCGAAACAGATACTGGGGGAAGCGTGATACGGCTTTGAATCTCCCGACGAACTCGTCTCTGTCCGTGACGTTATCTCAGAAGTCGCTACGAACGCATACCACCGCATCATGTTCCGAATCCTTCTCTGGGCCGGACACCCTAATACTCAACGGAGAAAAAGAGGACATTCAGTCTTCAAAAAGAACACAAGCCTGCTTAAAACACCTTCGTTTACTGCGCGAGGAAATGGAGTCGAAGGATGCTTCTCTACCTAAGCTCTCGAAATGGACACTGCGGCTGGTGTCTGCCAACAATTTCCCCACCGCCGCCGGTCTCGCTTCTTCAGCTGCAGGTTTTGCAGCTCTCGTCAGAGCAATTGCCGACCTCTATGAATTGCCCCAATCCCCGAAAGAGCTCTCATTGATTGCTCGGCAAGGCTCTGGGTCGGCCTGCAGGAGCCTGATGGGCGGCTACGTGGCCTGGCGGGCTGGTATGAACGAGGATGGAAGTGATAGCTTGGCCGAAGAGGTGGCGCCGGTCTCACATTGGCCGGAAATGAGAGCATTGATACTGATTGTCAGCGCCGAGAAGAAAGGTGTCCCATCAACTGCAGGTATGCAGACCACGGTCGAGACATCCACCTTGGCACCTGCACGATTCAAGGAGATTGTTCCGCAAAGGATGCAGGAGATAGAGAAAGCAATCAAAGAGAGGGATTTTGAGACGTTTGCGCGGATCACGATGCAGGATTCGAATTCGTTCCATGCCATCTGTCTGGATTCATGGCCGCCGATTCACTACTTGAACGACGTGTCTCGCGCAGCCATGAATGCGGTGGAGACAGCGAATCGGAAAGCGGGAAAGCTGATCTGCGCATACACATTCGATGCGGGGCCAAATGCCGTGATTTACTATCTGGCAGCACACTCCCACCAGGTGGCAGGAGTATTCAGAAACATCTTGCCCCAAGTGCCAGGTTGGGAAGGCGAGTTCGGAGGATCTATTCGACCGAATGAGTATGGTGGGTTGGAACAGAAGACATTGATGACCTTGAAAACAGGCGTGAGCCGGGTCATCTGCACAGCCGTGGGAGGAGGGCCAGAGCAGGTGGAGAGACATCTGGTGGACGCGAGAGGAAATGCTCTGGTGGACTGATTGAATGTCAGGTGTGAGCAACGTGTGCGCACCAAAGGACGAATTTTCGACCGACTGCGAGTCAAGAATTGATCGTATCTCGTACTTGTTATTGCACATGTGATAAGCGGCGAACATCAGTACTTTTTCGTATCTGCTTACCTCGGTGGTTTTCTTCTTGAGTATTGAAGTAGCATCCAGTGCGATGGAATGGCTAGACATCGGCTACTGTGCAAAGTCTAATAAGGGCTCTGTAGGCACGGCACTGAGGGAGAGTACCAAGGAAGGCAGCCAGTGCGCCCGCAGATAATAGGGCTGGTGGGCTATTGGCTAGGGAGGCTTGCTTGGTCCTCTCCGGCAAAACACCCCGGTACATGTAAGCAGCGGATACGGAGTACGGAGCAGACTTATCCGTCTTAGGGATCGTTTGGGGTTCTCTCCTCGACCTTCAAGTACTGGTACTTGTTAGGCGTCGACGAGGGACTTGGGATGCCTGGGTCTTGGTACCTGCTTCAACTGGGAGCGCCAAGTCACGCTCTTGCATGGCTATTGCCCGCCTATTCATCCATAATATCACGCCAACACAATCCTTCCCGAATCGATTCAGGTTTGTCGATGCCGTCTGATCTCACCAGCCGAGGTTTTCTGACTCTCCTTTCCAGCAGTCATCCTTTCACGCGAGCTTCTCCCCACACTTTTGTATTACATATTATTTAACTAATCCTGAACTCCTGGACTTTCGTGTTCAGTGTGTGGACGTTTTGGGGGCTATAGGACCCTGCCCCATTTTTACCGCTATTTTCCCCCCGCCACGCCGTCCGTTTCATATACCTACTATTCTTATCTACACGTCCTTTTCTTTTCTTTCCACCAACTCCTAGGGACGTGGTCAACATCCACCGATTCACCATGATTGCGGCCAACAACAGCTTCGACGTCATTATCATTGGCGCTGGCATCAGCGGCATCAATTCGGCCTACCGACTTCAAGAAGGTCTCCCCGACTACTCCTACGCCATCCTCGAAGGACGGGCAGAAATCGGCGGCACCTGGAGTTTGTTCAAGTATCCCGGCATCAGGTCCGATTCTGATCTTCACACCTTCGGCTTTCCCTGGGACCCATGGAAGGAAGATCGTTCTATCGCCGATGCAGCATCGATTCTGAGATATGTCAAAACCACTGCCGCTAAACATGGCATTGACAAGCACATCAAATACCACCACAAAGTCGAGTCGATGAATTGGTCGACTGAGAATCAGCACTGGGAGATCGATGTCACTGTCGACGGGACCGAGAAGCGAAAGTACTACTCGCGATTTATCCTCCTGGGCACGGGCTACTATGACTATTCTCAGGGCCTTAATACCAAGATCCCCGGCATCGAGAATTTCCAAGGAACCGTCGTCCATCCCCAATTCTGGCCAGAGGACCTCGACTACACAGACAAGAAAGTCGTTATCATCGGCAGTGGTGCGACCGCCGTGACCCTCCTCCCCGCCATGACCGAGAAGGCCAAATCGGTGACCATGCTTCAACGATCACCAAGCTATTTCCTGCCCATCCCCCTGACCGAACCCATCGACGGTCTCATCAAGCGGATATTCCCTGAAAAGTGGGCATATCAACTCATTCGACTCAGATTCCTTCTCGTGGGTTTCTTCTTCTTCCAATTTTGTCGATTCTTCCCCAAAAAGGGTCGATCGGTCCTTCGTGAGGCCACCGAGAAGGAGCTGCCTGCCAATATTCCGTTTGAACCTCACTTCGTTCCTCGGTATAACCCCTGGGAACAACGAATGTGTATCACACCAGGTGAGCCATGACACCCCTTACCAGGCGTTAGAGTGACTTGCTAACTTTTCCTTCCAAGGTGGCGATTTCTTTGCAGCGCTGCGAACGGGCAAAGCCGACGTCGTGACCGACACAATCCAAGACATTAACGCGAACGAAATCAAACTCAAATCCGGAGCGACTCTCCCTGCAGATATAATCGTCACCGCCACTGGTCTCAAGATCCAGTTCGGTGGCGGCGCCAGTGTCAATGTCGACGGCGAGCCCTACAAGATGAACCAGAAGTTCATTTGGCGTGGTGCTTTGCTACAAGATCTGCCAAACTTCACATTCATCTTTGGGTACACGAATGCCAGCTGGACCCTTGGTGCCGATGCCACTGCACAGCTTTGGGTTCGTCTCCTCAAAGACATGAAAGCGAAGAATATGACGAGCATGGTGCCGCGCGTCAACGAAAAAGAGGGCGTGACGGAGGTGCCTCTTCTGAATCTGAATAGTAGCTACATCAAGGCTGCCCAAGAGGCGAATACGCTACCCAAGGGTGGGGACCGGGGGCCTTGGACGCCTAGGAGCTCGTATTTTTGGGATATTTGGCATGCAAAGTTTGGCGATATTCGGACCGGGTTGCAATTCAATAGGATTTCGACGTAGAGGGTAAGTGGGAATCAGGTGTATGTGGGCTTGGGACATGTGTGTGAGGGCGCTACTGTCTCCTACTACTTGTTGAGGAAAACTGAATTACTCCCTTGATGGGTTCGGAATTGATATCGAATCGGGGCCTATAACCAGGTGATCGGCCGTAGGATTTTCCGACGCCGAAGCCCGCCACTGCCGCTCCCGCTGTTTTCGTCAGCCACCAGCCCTATAATTTTCTCACGCTGTCTGTCTTTTTTCCCTCACAAATTTATTTCTGACCGCCCATTTCCCTTTTGCCACGGTCTCAGCCTGACTTTCTTTTGTCTTGGGTCCCAGACCATCGCTCAAAGACTTTCTTTCGGCAACGCCTTGCGACTCCCGCCTTTCGAGGACCAAGAGACCTGACCGAAATCACCCACACCACGAGCTCCAACCTAGCTCCACATTTCACCTCTTTCCTTACAGATTCAACTCCAAAAAGATGGGCAACGGGGCCAAGGCCGCTCAAAAACGAGAGCGGAACACGAAGGATACTAAGAAGGAACCGAGCAGTCAGTTGAAGAAGGTATGACTGGATTTCTCATTTCTTTGAGTTGTGCTCTCTCTTGGTTTTCCATGGCACGCCACCTTGAAACGCTACATCCTTCTCAATCTGAAGACTTGGTGTGGGATTATTTTACCTGGCCGCAGCTATGATTGGTTGATGATGTGATACATATTGGTAAGGCAGGACTTGCTGGAGGTCGTAAGGATGGTGGACGACTCTGTAGGAGAAATCCTCCTTTGCGGAGTCTGAGCCAGCTCCTGGGCGCGCCTATGACAAGGACCGGGGATTTGGATCCTGAGGGATTCTGACCTTGGCGGTTCTCCTGAATCTCGGCTTTCTTGTCTCGTTGTTACACGTCAGAGAACAGGCTCAGAGAACTGTCGAGAGTGACAGCCCGACACGTTATTCTCCCATTCCGACCAGTCGAGCCAGCCTTCCTTTTCTCCCGGTTGCAGCCCCCTCCGCATCACCATTCGCTGTCCACAAAGTCTTCCCAATTCCCATGACCATCTGCCGTATACCTTTACTCACCTTGCACGATCTTGTGTTTCTTAAATCTTCGTTTTCTGTTCCCGGATAGATCACTAATGATACTGACAAAAACACAGAACGCAGCAGCGCAAACGATCAAATGCAAAATCTGCTTCGCCACTTTCCAGAGCACCTCAGCACGTAAAGGTCTAGAGGATCACGCCTCAAACAAACACAGCAAGAAATACGAGGAGTGTTTTGCCTAATTTTCAGCATCAAGCCAGCATGAAAGCTGACGACAGAAATTGACGAAGATGACATGTCGATGAAAGGTGTTCTCTTGAAAGTTGCCAGCACTTGCCGATAGGTTGTGGAGCGCATCATGGGGATTGAGGATAAGTGGAAAATACGGACGAGCCCCCACACGCCTTCTCAGTGATGCAACCAGGCTGGAACCAACAAGGAGCTTGGTGCTGCGTTTCTTAGCGAGGGAGTTCAGGGCGGGTTTTATATTTACCTTCGTTCATCAGCATTGCTGAAATGGTCAGCAATGGAGAAGCACATGCGAGCACGATGGTGGCCTTGTTCCCATTCCTTCGGATCTCTCTGCATTTCCGTCGAGTGCACCGTCTGTTCAAGCCTTCCAGACTTTGTGCCAGCTAGCCCATGGCGCTTTCCTGGTCAACGACTGGTTCAAGGTCGAGCAGGAAACCATCGGGTGACCCCTCCCGCACTGCCGAAACATCTGTATTCCTTTTGTAGGACAGGCAGGGTAATTCGTATTCCTCGACCTAAGAGTTTGACGAGTTGGCCCTTGAATACCAGAAAAACATGGTTCCAGGCAGAAAAGCCAACCACGACACCCCCGCCGGTGAGATTCTGGAGATCAATTCGATCACGAGTGATGCTCTCCCTCACAAAGCTGTTACACTCGGTCGGCTCATCAACGATGCTTATCAACCATAGCAAGACTTCCTCCCATTCAGCCTGATCGTCCCCGCAGACGATGAGATGGCAGACGCCTCAATTCTCAACGTCAAAGACGACTCTAGCGAGCAATGCTCCATCAAGGTAGCCGCCTGGCTCACGGATGTGTTGGCCTTCCTATTCCACCACAACAAGGACATCAAGCACAAATTGAACACAGAGCATGTCATTGGTTGGCGCCTCTTGAACTCCGGGGCCTTCTTCGACTGCCTGACGGACACTCTATCAAACAATCGTACGTGAAGACAAACTTTTGTACTCTCCTGTACAGTAAGTAACAAGGCTCTGCGTGTTCGGCTAACCTACCCTGTTATGAAGCGCAGCCTTTCGAGCTGCCCTCACGACCCTCTCGCCTCGTCGCAGTAATTATCGACGTAATACGATTTACTTTATTATCGTGACAAACCTATAAAACCTCAAGATGATCATTACTCTTACGCATTTAAGGTGACTTGACATCTCTTTGATCCTAACGGACATACAGTGCTTACAGTTATAAAGACACAAGAGGGTATATACAGAAGCCGAGGTCACAAAATGAAAATCGCTGGGGAATCGTGGGCATCTTGGGCATCTGGTGGCATCCTACCTCGTAGAGACCCTGAAAACGAGTTAGAACGCCCACGATTTCCCAGGTTACCCGGACATCTCCCAGTACACAGTATTGAGGTTGCTATGATGAGAGGAAGGCTCTAAACCTGTTGTGACTGCTGTGACATGCCCCTGCTTGCCGCTGTGGCGAGACGCGAAATCGGACCAGTTCGCAACTATCTTATCCAACATGCATTGTCCATTACTCCTCGCGCTCCCCTCTGGATGGTGGACTGCTTTGGATCAAGATTCCATTGAGGGACACATGGCATTGCTGTATCCAAAGAGACAAGACCGCCTACGACTTCCGCTTTAGGTGACCCCATGCAGCACCAATGGACTTGCAAACTGATCGACGAGGCGCAGACGAGCGCCCAACACATGAACCAGGGTCTGCGGGGATCTAGGCGGCGCTTCATTTTGGACGCAGTCGAATTCCATGAGGAGCCTCAGCCTGACTGATTTGTCTCTGCAATCTCTTCTTTCTGCGTTCCCCAGGTTGAACAGCCTCGCTTTCCGTCCTATTGCTGTTAGGGCAGAATTCCACGATCACGATGTCATCGTCGACCGGCGGTAATGACGCTTCTGCGGATCGCCCACTCCGCCTCTTGAGTTTGGGTAAGGCTCTGGATCTGTCTCTTTGGGCAAACGTTAATGCTGTGCCCAGATGGAGGAGGCGTGAAAGGTTTAGCTACGCTAATCATGCTACAAGAGCTGTTTAGCCCTCTGCGAGATGGGCAAGGAAATGCACCTCTTCCCTGGCAGTATTTCGACCTTATTGGAGGCACATCTACTGGGGGGTAAGGAGATTCCATATGGCGGGCTAATGGTCCCAGTAATGACTTCGAACTAGCCTCATCGCTATCATGCTCGGACGTCTCCACATGTCAATCGAAGACGCCATCGAAGCTTACAAAGATCTGTCGGGCACAATTTTCGCTAAGAAGTGGTGGGCGGGGAACAAGATTACAAGACTCATTGGGGGGGAGGCGAAACAATACGCTTTCAGCGGAGAGCCCATTAAGCAGGGGGTCCGAGACGTGTTGGAAAAACAAGGCCTGGATAGCGACGTCGCTCTGCTGGAGTCGGAAGAATCATCATGCCGAACGTGCGTTTACCCATGCCAGGTGCACTTAGAGCGGTTTACTGAACGCTGGAACAGATTTGTGAGCGCTGTCAATGCGGTAACTACGCATGCCGAACTCCTTCGGACGTATCGCCTCAACAAGCCTGGGCAGACACATTATCCTTGTACTGTTTGGGAAGCTGCTCGAGCAACTTCAGCAGCACCGATGTACTTTGAACCTATCGAGATAGGCGGAAAAATCAAGACCACCTTCGTCGATGGCGGATTGCGCGACAACAATCCCGTCGGCTTGGTCACTGCCGAAGCACATCGGATCTGGCCCGGTCGCAAGATCGGATGTCTTGTGAGTCTGGGAACAGGCGTGACGCAACCAGAATCGTTAAGTGTAACCAAGTCGAGGCTCCACGAGGTGTTGACCACGCTTGCGTCCATGACCACCGATGCCCACAACAGACATCTCGAATTCAGAAACAGCGAGGAGGGTCGAGGTTTGCTCAACGACAAGAAATATTTCAGATTCTCACCCACCCAAGGGTTTGGTCAGGTTAGCATGGAAGATTTTGAGAAAGCAGACTCAATGGTTCAGTTTGCGCGCGACTATGTGCGTGAGCATGATGATGCGTTCGAGCACTGCGTGGCGTTGCTGGGGAGCTTGAGCACTGGTATGTGACGCTGCTGGGGATCCGTTGGACATTTGCATCATTGTTAATTGCCCATTATAGGCAAAATCAATGCTCTGTCAGATAGCTCTCATGTACATACTCCAATTCCGGGTCCCATTCGAAATTGGGTTCCAATGATCGATACAAGACCTTTTTCGGTCTCCAACACTCCAAGCTCTCCGAACCCTCCCAGCATCAGGTTGCATCCAAAAGGGAGACAAGTCAGCAAATTCTATGTCGGACGAGATGTCCTCACTCGTAGTCTGGACGAGTCTTGCCTCCTACAATCGGGCTCGACACGGGATAATCCAGCATGGATTCTGCTGTGGGGATTGGGAGGGACGGGCAAGACTGAGGCTGCCTGGCGATTTTATTCAACACATCACAAGAAGTGAGGTCGTCGCGTGGCGTAATGGAATTCGCTAACGAGTCTAGATTTCTTCACAGCTTCTGGATCGACAGTGGCGGTACCGACCAGGACCTCACGAAGGGCTTCCTCGCGATGGCCGAAAAGATTGGCCTAGGTAAGGAGGATCCCGTGAGCAAAATCGTTGCATGGCTGGGTGATCAAGAACACGCTTGGTTGCTCGTGCTCGATGATGTAGTCGAATATTCCAACCTGATATCCTGCCTACCGTCAATCGGCAACGGTGTCGTGCTTGTGACATCGACCAACAGAATTTCAGAAGTCGATTTCACCCAGCGGTTTCACCTTTCGGAACTAGATCCCGAAGAGGCGATGGATCTGCTTGTACGTCGTATGGAAAGACCTTGTCGACAGGCGTCGGAGAGGGAAGTGGCAGTGCTTCTACTGCGGAGCCTGTGCCACCTTCCGTTGGCTATCCATATCGCAGGGGCCTATATTCGAGACCAGAAGTACACGATACAACAGTACCATAGCCAGTGGCGGCAATATTTCTGGGCGCAGGAGAAACTCAAATCGGCCGATTCACGCATAGCAGCGACATTCCAATTGAGCTATGACCGTATTGCGAACCAATATGCCGATGGCCGTTCGACCGTGGAGCTCCTCACTCTCCTGTGCTTTCTCCGTCCCCAAAACGCCTCGGAACAGATTTTGGACGAAACCTGGCACGTCCTGTACGGCGAAACGGGCCTGGAAGATCGCGAAGCCTTTCGGCACTTCATGATAAGTGTCCTGTTACACGGAGAAAGCGATCAATGGGATCGGGCGCGCGACAAGGTTCGAAATTCTTTAGCCCTCCTGGAATCATACTCTTTCCTGGTGTTCGCCGATACGGGCGACATTTACGTCCATTCGCTCGTCCACGAGTGGTGTCGGCGTCGCTTGACCGCCGAGGACCGGGCTAAGTGGTGGAACAGAGCAGCGGTAACATTGTTGCTGTCGGCCTCTGGCGAACAGGATGGATCTTTCTATCGGAAAGTTGCGTCTCACCTCGATCACCTAGCTAGGCTGGACGAAGCCGCCGTCTTCAAACTCCGGTGGCCCGGGGAAGGAGATGAATACGAAGTCGCGCGTCGCTTTGTCGATGTATACCAAGCCAGTGGCAGATTTTCGGAAGCTTACAGGATGCAAAAACAGATCTGCGAGAGGCTTGAAACTTGCGAGCAGCGGGAAAGGCCTTCTCAAGTGTTCGCCGAGTCTCTTTATGTCCTGTCTAGCCTCTGTACGGACGCTGGGGATGATGAAGAAGCCTTGCGTGTTGCACAACAGGCGCTGATGCTCGCTCGCAAACGATGCGAACCAGCCACAACGACAGAATTGCTCATATGCCAGCAGCGACTTGCAGAGTGTCAGAGAGCCCTCGGGCAGTTCGAAGCAGCTTATAAACTTCGGGTACAGATTCTGGATGGATGCAAACATGTACTCCGCGGTGAGGGTGACCTTGGTCATCACGAGCTTCGGGCACGGCGAGATGTAGCCATCAGCCTGGCAGACATAGGCAAACACGATGAGGCTCTCCAAGCTCTGGAGAAAATCACCGCTGAGCAGAAGAATTGCTTGTCGTCAACTGATCAAGATTTGCTCGTCACGAGAAGCGCATTGGCGCGGGCATACAGCTGGACCGGCCTCGAGGAGAAAGCATTAGAACAGCGGAATATCATTCTGGACGCCCAAAAGATTCGCGACGAAGACCACACAGATACCCTTGTCGCGATGCAAGAGGTGGCAGGTAGTCTGAGCAAGCTAGGGTTTTCTCAGAGAGCTCTTGAGATCAACCAAGATCTGGTCCAGAAATGGACCGCGAAGAACGTCCCCAAGCATCATCGCGGGCTGATATCGGCCCAGATCAACCTAGCTCAAAGCTTCCTTGCATCCGGTCAGCTTTCCAAAGGGCTCCAGCTTCACCGAGAAGTGTTGGCGGCCAGGAAGGTCGCGTCCGGACCTCAGAGTGGCGCTGCTGTCGATTCCATGACCATCATGACACTGGCGCTTCATCGGTGTGGCCACAAAGATGAAGCGGCCGAGATGAGAGCCAAGACGGAGAAGATCTTGAACGAGCGGCCAAATGCTGTTCCAGAGCACCGCAGACAATACTGGAAAGCCATGAATAGCTTGATGCAACTAGACGGTGTCGCAGAAAGGATCCGACGGAGAAAGGACATTTTGCGAAGCCAGGAAGTGGAGGACGACGTTGGCGCGGTGCGGACTGTCATTGACCTCGCTCGTGACTACATCATAATGCGAGAATTCCCCAGTGCCATACATCGGCTTGAGACACTTCTCGGCAACACAAAGAGCAAGACAAAACTGGGAGAGCACCATCCCCTTATGCTTGACGCCATGCAGACATTGATTAAGGCGCAGTTCAAATCAAGACAGTTGACAGATGCTGTTGGCTGGTTGGAACGACTTCTCCGGGCCCAAAGCGAAAGCCTTGGAAGGCAAAGCCCTGAAACAATAAGGACCGCGAGACAGTTGACGGCGGAGCTAAGATCGAGGAAGCGGGATGCTGCTGCCCAACAAAAGGCAGCGGGTTTGGAGCGAACCTACGAACTCCGGACGCCATTTGGTTCTTGACACGCAGTTCATTGCATGGGCCCAACTACCAGGCCCTTTCAAATCCCGCAAGGCGTAAGCATGTCTCGTTTGCCGGAGACTGCCTTTTGCCGAAAGTAGATGGTCGTCAGAATCTTCTAATAATGTCGGGGAATGGGAGGGGGGAGAGATTCCAGGATTGGGCCAGCAACAAAGAGTCGGACAAGGGTCGTCCAGGCCATCATTTCGTTCTTTTTGTTTGAGCGTGCATCACTTCCATGTTGCGTTCCCATGCCTTGCGTCTCCTATGGGCATCGCCTAGGTGTGCTCCGACAAATGCCAGCTCAGCAGTTGGGCTGTTCCATGATGGCAGCTGCCGTGCTGGGGTAGCAGTACAGTGTACCCTGCTACTTTCTCCTGGAGCCGCACTCGGCTGCTGAATCTCGATGTGATCGTGGGAGATCTTGTAACGATTGTCTCTGACTTGTTCACGAACAAGTGCAGGACTAGTGTGCATATGCACCCGCGGGGTGGAAGAGGGGAGGGCAGCTTTATAGTGATTCCCAAAGGGACGGTCTTGCCGCGGGCCGCGCGATGAGGAAAACGAGGAGACAGAGCTAATGCGACTTGGGGGCGAGGGCAACGAGTCACCGCTGCTGCTACCTAAAGTAAACATACCGGTGCCGACATGTCTGTATATTGGCCGTCCCCTAAAAGGATTGTTGGGTTGTTGTTCAATGTCGTCAACCCTCAGTAAATTTGCAAGTGCGGATCTGGTATCTCTCACGCTGGAGTTGAGGAGCTCAGATCCTCTGCCAGTCAAAGAGGCACGGTCGTTGTGTTGCAGCGGGGCCCAGCTGGCACGTTGTCTGGCATCTCCCACGCGCCCGGGCTCATCTCCCCCGTTGCTGGAGACCTTGTTTGTCGGCCAAAATCTGCGAAAGAAGTCTGTGACCGCCGACCACCGAGATGGACGCTGCGGATGATTCCGGGGAATAGCTAGAAATTCGAAACGGTCTGCAGAACTTGCAGGGGGGGAATCCAAGCCTATGTCGAGGGCCCTGAGACCAAGATTTCTTCTGCTCCGTCCTGGAAAACTGTATTCTCGGGTATCGATGCTCTCCACGCTCAGATGTTCGAGGCTTCTGGTGTGTCCATGGGCGAAAAAGGAATCTCGTCCTCTTGACAGTCTGCGCGGCCAACTCGTGGATATAGATGGAGCGGCGGAATGGAGGTACTCCGAGACATTACTGCCGTTGGTAGAGAAATCGCTGGCGGTTAGTGCTCTGTCGCACTTGCACTATGAGATCAACGACACAGTCAGCGGCAGCATTGACGGTGCTCGAGGCACATACGCAGACGCGGATTTCGAGGCCAATCTGGTGGTCCTCTTTGGTCTCACAGCAGCCATTAAAGTCCGTGTGGCCACAATTAGGGTTCTTGCAGGTCCATCCCATCTCTTGCGCATCTTAGCAGCGCCCGTCTCACGACGTCGTAGAAGAATAAGGCTGCGTGCCGGGGTGGTCTGGACGCGGCTGAAGCATCTTGGATGTCCAGCGGTGCTCTTGTAATTTGGACTTAGACTCCGTAACTTGTGGAGTCAATTCGAGGCGAGGATCCCTGCAAGTCTCCCTCCCTACCCCCGCGTCCACTTTACTGTTTCCAGGGCATGCGGCCATAGCTAGCCGCTAGCTTAAATCGTTGGGAATGATTAGGTTTATGTAGCATGGGCAACATGGAACATGTATATATTTAAGGCGACGAGACTAGCTGGCGGTGATATTAAAGGCTATCTCGGTAAGCAGCTGCCAACTCAGACAAGTCACTGCGGGCGTCCATGATCAGACCAGCCGTGATACCGCGACCCGCTTCCAGGATGTCCAGCGCGTGCTCGTCGCCTTTGCCCCCGCGGAGCGCCGCTGTTGAAGCAAGGGCTGACATACCCGGCATGTTCTTGAGGGCATGTTCTTGTTCAAACTCTCTTTCCGTTGACATGCGTTCGATTGATTTCGTGCCAGTGTGGCTCGAGCACGAGGTCAAGCTTCGGCTGAAGGAAGGCTAGCAGTGAGTGGTGTCTGGGATCTATTTGACATCAAAGCGACCTACAAGTAATGGCTTTGGTTCGATCACTTTCTTGGTCGGACAAGATGGCAGCATCTCTGAGGTGGACAATGACTTCATCGGGTCGTCGGAGTCCTCGAAGAGGCCAAATTTCTGTGCCAGCATGCCACCAAGATCTGTCGGACGAGATGAATACGGAGGACTGTGTAAATCAGTGTCCACAAGGATCTGCAAGAGACTGATAGCCTTTCTAAGATAGGGCGATATGGACGTTGCTCTAAAAGCGCTGTAGCATCTCTCTGAGATTGTTGTGAGGTAAGTCTTTCGCGTCCGTGTATCCTGTAGAGCAGGTGCGAGTGCTGCTTGTGCAAATGCAAGAGAATCAGGCTCTTGCAGGAACATGTCGATACAAACTCTCAACTGGGCGTCCATCTTCAAATGCTTTGCCTTTGCTCATTAGAAACGGATAATTTCGCGTGAGTAATAGTCCACTGAGCCTGCTTTGTTGGTGACAGACTTCGGGCAAGGCATTACCCCTTGCGTTCTGGTAGAGATCAAGTACATACCACCCAGGAATACTGCGGTCTCGCTTTCGGGAAGGGTACCTGCTCTAGCGTTTTGTGACCAGGAGCACGTGCCACCGCCGATGAGGCGGGTGCGCAAAGGGTGGGACACCAGGACGTTTTGGTACTGTAATTAGGAGCGGAGAAGTCCTCGCGGTCCTAGGCGGTATGCCCGACTGAGGCGGCAGGACGCTACATTGCGGTACATACGCCCTTTGACTCCAAATCGATAGGCTGGTTGATAGGCACAGAGACAGGTATGTAGTTAGATATATTGCATTGGACCGTGGCGATCCGTGTGCATACGCTCCTCCCTCTGCTAACCAAGTCGTGATATGTGTCCGGAGTAAGGGCTTGATACACATAGATCCTTGCCTGTGCGTGTGTGGAAGATAGCTGGTGCATTGCTGGGTTAGTTTTACCTCTTTGCTCCCTAGAAGATCGTGCGCGATTCGCATTGGGACAGTGGCACTGGGACAGACATTGCTTTCTTTTTCTTCTCCAGCTTTCAGCAGTGACGGACAACGCACAATGAACGGCATTCATCCTGCCGAGCCGGATGGCACAAGGGAACCCCCAGCACCAGGTCCAGCCTTACTCCATCGGTCGCTGAATGCACGCCCGTACAAAGTCGCCTCGGCAAAGGGTCTGTACTTGACGCTCTCTGACGGGCGGACAATCATGGATGCCTGTGGCGGCGCGGCGGTCGCGTGTTTGGGTCACGGCAATGAGGAAGTCTTACAGGCCGTCTCGCGCCAGATGAGCACAGGCGTCAGCTACATCCACTCGCTGACCTACACGACCGATGCGGCCGAGGAGCTGGCGCACCATCTCATCGACGGGCCTCAGGGGGGGAGCCGGTTCGGGCTCCAGCGCGCGTACTTTGTCAACTCCGGCAGTGAGGCAATGGACGCGGCGTTGAAGTTGGCCAGGCAGTACTTTTTTGAACTGGGCCAGACGACGACGACGACGACGACGACGACGACAACGGCCAGATCACGCTTCGTGAGCAGGAAGCAGAGCTACCACGGCACCACGGTCGGGGCCATGAACGTGAGCAGCAATCTGCCACGCAAAGTGCCGTACGCGTGTTTCCAGTTGGACAATGTCAGCTGGGTCACTCCCGCGTACGCCTACCAGTATTCAAACTGGCAGAGCGGGGAGACCGAAGAGGAATTCACGCAGAGGCTGGTAGACGAGCTGGACGCGCATTTCCGCGAGATTGGACCCGAGAGCGTCGTTGCCTTTGTCGCAGAGCCACTGGTCGGCGCGACCAGTGGCTGCACGCCGGCCCCCAAGGGGTATTTCAAGGGAGTCCGGCGGGTGTGCGACAAGTACGGCATCCTATTGATCCTGGACGAAGTTATGTGCGGCATGGGTCGGACGGGGACTTTCTTCGCCTTCGAGCAGGAAGGGATCGTGCCGGACCTGGTCACGGTCGGAAAGGGCCTGGGAGGCGGATACGCGCCTGTCGCGGGCGTCTTGATTCACAAGAAGATCGTCGACGCCCTGAGGTCGGGCACCAGCAGCTTCAACCACGGACACACTTACCAGGCCCACCCCGTCGGCTGCGCCGCGACGCTAGCGGTGCAGAAGATCCTAAAGCGCGACGGCCTGGTCGAGAACGTCGCGCGTCTCGGGCGCTTCCTGTACCCTCTGCTCATGGACACATTCGGGGCGGCAAAGTACGTGGGCGATATCCGCGGACGCGGCTTGTTCTGGGGCATCGAGTTCGTCCGCGACAAGGCCACGCGCGAGTCCTTCCCGCCGCGTGCGTGCTTTGGTCCTCGCTTTCAGGCCATGACGTTTGACCTGGGCGTCGCCGTCTATCCCGGCTCTAGCACGGTGGATGGTACGAGAGGCGACCATGCCATTCTGAGCCCGCCGTATAATGTGACCGAGGATGAGTTGAGGAAGATCGTCGAGGTGATGAAGTTGGCGTATGATCGCCTGGAAAAGGAAGTGGATGATGAGTCTTGGGACGAGAAGGCTGCAAATGGACATGCAAAGCCGTATTAATTACTCAGCTGGGACAGAGCAACAAGGGGCATGCGAGGTAGAGGTTCGAAAGTGGTCTGAGTATTACTATTACCCCTTTGCACTGGCTCCTATCAATCACAAAGCCGCCCTTTCTTTCCGGGCTCAAGGACTCCTCAGTAATTTCAGGTCGTATAAATGACCTGGCTTGATTTGCCAGATCCCAAGATCCATTTTCTTTCCTTTAGAGCATCTTTGTCCTGCAAATGCATGCAATCGTCGTGAAACGCATCGACCCTTGGGATGCGCCCTGATAAAACTCCCATCTTGGGCCGTTGATCCATTGAATCCAATTCTTCATAATGCATGCCATAGAATGATACCTCGATTCGAGCATCTCATACCCCCCACCTGGGTCGTCTATCGTACTATTACTTCCGCGTTGCCCCTGCTCTGCGGCCGCGGAATATCCCCCAGTTCATTACCTGTCCCGCTTTGACCTCGTTTCCGTCCCGGAAGGAAATGGAAGTGATGCTTGCCTTCCTCCTTGGTTGCCGCGGTCGTGGTGATGGTTTCGCCGTTTGAGTCGCCGAACCGGGACAGGAAACTCTTCTTCTTAGGCTCTTGTTGCTTGTTTGCTTCGTCATTCAGTTTCACATCTTCAAAGATCGGATCCTCTTCGGCGGTGGGTCTCTCGAATGTAGTGCTGCTTAGCGTTGAGCGCGTGGGGAAGCGGGTCGCTGGTCTCGAGTCAAGAGATGTGCGCGAAGTGAAACTGTCAGTTTGGAGGATTGGGGAGCGGCCGGAAATGTCCTGTGACACTGATCAGGACGCTGTCATGCGTGTGGCAGGGGAATGACCTACAAAAGACCTCCTGTACGACTCAAAGGACTCGCGAGAGATTGTGAATGCGTCGTTATCATTGAAACATTGGCGATGGTTGGTGCTTGTGGAGGACGGCGATTTCGCCCAGAAGGATTGCTTTTCGGTGGGCGAAGGCTGTTATATGATCAGCTGCAGTGTTGGAAGAAACTCATTGGCATCTCGTACCGGTAGATATTCACCACTGTCGTTGACCGCTGTTCACTGTTAGCCTCGGGACAATGTGATGGTGGTGGGGGATTGGCCCGTCGCATACAACTCAGTTTAAATTCGTTGGGCTCTACCGTCTTTTCCTTGACTCCCAACGCTAATGAGGGCTTGTCTCTGCTGTATGGACTCTTGACATTGCCGTCGAAGGAATTGGGGCGAGCATTCTCATCGTTGGTCGTCTCAATGGGCGCCGCGGGGCGCTTCGAGGTGAAGGGCATGCGGAAGGGAGGCATATCGAACGACTAAAGCGGTTTGGTTTATCGGGAAACGTCTACTGGAAAAAAGAGAATGGATGTATGAGAGGATTTGGACGGTTTATGCTTTCAGAGAGAAAATATCGGGAGACGGGATATTTGGGAGGAAGAGGAGCGCACAAAAAAGGGCATTGTCACGGGTCCCAAGTAGTATGTAATACGTACAAGTAGTGCCGTGGGCAGTGTTTTAAAGAGTCTTGAGCCAGGAGCCAGCAGCCAGAAGCCGGGGCCGAAGGCGGGCAACAAACAATGGTAAGGATAATAACGCCACGGCCTTTGCACGGCCTACCCACCTGGGCACATGGGCACCCGGTATCGTGCCGGCCAGCCGGGAAGATTTTCCCTCCTCTCCAGAGTTACACCATAGGTTGCCCACAGGGACTGCCCAGGGAAGGCTTTTGCAGGGTCATTGGGCAGCTTTTGGCGCCCATCATTAACCGGAGAAAGGGCCCACCAGGCCCCTCCTGGGCCCCTTAGCCCCTCCCAGGCCCCTCGCTGCCCAGGCCCTGGAGGCCCATGCTGCCAATGGGCACCCAATGGGCACTGGCCCTGGCGCTTTGTCAACTCCAGTCATCCACCCTGCATGGGCTGTCGCCTCGAATCCCCATAGATAGCATATTGCCCTTTGTTTCGTCAACCACTCCCTTGAAGGAGTATTGGGTCTTACGCTTTGCATGCAGGTACAGGATACGAGAAGGAAATTTTCTCATCCCCGACCGACACTTATTTCATCTCACCTTGCGAGCTGGGGCAAGGCAGGCGCAAAATTGATGATTCACCCAGCCACTGTTTGCCATTCCAAGACTGACAGTACCTAGAAGTAGTTGTCGTCGGCGAAGGGAGCTTCTCTCCACCTCCACACTATGCCATCATCATCCAGCTACCGAATGACGTCGACAACCAATCCCTGCCTTGAAAACTTGGAGACTACCCGACGAGCGAGTTCGGAAGGCTGGCATGAGGATTCTCTGATCGCCGCTGCCAAGCTTGCGGGCATCTCAGCCTCACTGTCGTTGTCCAATTCATCAATTGCCGTCTGTCTCCTGGCCGATACTGTGTCACAGCAAGGTTCCCGCATTTCAATATGCGCGCCATCGTGCAGATTGCCCCAACTTGTCCCCCGTTTCCCTCGCGTTGCCGTGCTGCCATCGTGCCCTCCTGTGATTGTTTCCTGATAACCATGGCGACGGGGAAGCAGTGGCCGTCCTTCAAGACGAGCAATTCGACCCCGTATGTATGCAGCGGTAACTTCGTGCGATGGACTCCTCAAATGAGCTTGTCAGGACAATCGACGGTTGCATGACCAATTCGGGCGGATGCAGGCCAACAGCAGCGAGCAGAGATGTGGCCATGTCCTGCTGAAAGGTCTGTTTGATCAATCCAATTCATTTGGCGAACAGAATCCAGGTCTTCCGGTCTTCACGCTTTGCTTTGCAGGCTGCTCAATGATTTTTCCATTCCTGGTTGATTTCACGCGCACCTTTCACTTCACCACCAAAACTACAATTGGAAGCTGCACATCGCGGATGGCGACTGCTCGTTTTTGTTTTCGAGCACGACTAAAGCAGGTGCTGCTGTCGTCCTGCGTGACCGCTACCACTGCGGCGACCACGTCAACGGCGCCTGGCGGGTTATCGCCTGCGTTCCCTCACTCGTGGGTTTTCCTCCAGTCCATCATTAGCAGTTCCGTCGACCACATCGCAAACTGCTCTATCATTTCTTTGGTGCTTGTCTCCATTGCTCTTCGGAAATGGGGTTCTTCCTTTTCATCCTTCCTCGCGTCTAGCATTCCTACCATACCGTTCTCCGGCAACATGCTCAACGCCTTTCCGGAGGGCGCCGTTTTCTTCTTGGAGTGGCCACTGTGGGCTCGCCTAGCCCTTGTGAGTCTGGATATGCAGCTTAACGAGGGGCCTTGCTAACACTTGTACCAGATCTTAGGTGGCTTGCTTGTTCGTCCCCCTGCCTTCGGGTTTACTCCTTCTGACCTTCTCCAGACGATTATCCTTACCACCGCCTTCGTCGTCAAGCTGAGAAATTGGGCAAAGGACAGAAGGTTGGAAAGAAGGGCAGCCGAAGAGCAGGCCGAACGAGGGGAAATGACTCTAGTCAACTGCTTGGAAGAAGACATACCCTTCGGCATCCGCGCTTTGATCGAAGACCCCGAAGTTGAAGGGGTGTGGAACGCTCGAACAGTAACGGCTTTGCATCTCGACGGAGCCCGATCTGACCCTCCCTCGCAATTGACGAGCAAGCTTATAAAATACTCGTCGACTTCTTCCACCTCTATGCGCGATACCATGGACATAGGACTTGCTTCTCCAGATGGTGAGAGATGAACGTGCCGTTACGAGTTTTTGGCTGACATTCGACAGCCTTGACGCCATTCACTGAGTCCACGGCAGTCATTGATCTGCCAGCCGAGGCATCGTCCTCAAGGAAAGGGAAGACCGTTGTCATAAGCTACAACGGTCCATATCTTCGATCGGACGCTACTGAGGCCGTGCCAGGTCTGGCAATTTCCGGCATTGTTCCATCACGGATCTTACTAACGATGGTGACACAGATGTTGCTCCTTCAATGACAAACGACAAGTTGAATCCTTCACCGTCAAAATTGCAGCTCCGTCCCATCATCAATCTACCATCTTCGGGAGCGCGCAAGTTTGTCATTGGAAACGGGCAAAGAAACATACTCGGACACAAGAGGGCAGACGCCCAGTCTAACCTCAACCCACTTGAACGCATGGAGGCTCATCGGCGCTTCCATGTCGCAGAAAGTGGTCAACTTCTGCCTAGGGATCGTCGGCTGACTGACATGGATCTGACTCCCGCATTCGCTTCGTCTATATCAGACAGCGAGGATAGCGACGACTCGGCATCTCGTGCTTTGTCATGGCCGCCTCGAAATGGTAGTATCAATCTTGGCAAACAGTTCTCTCGCAGAGCGAAGAGGATGGAAGGACCCCGACCTGTGCCCTTCCGCGCGTTCCTCGAGTCCTTACCCACCACAAAACCCCCGCCTTCGGCTTGGACAGAGAAGACCCAGGCGAGGCTCGACGCCAAAATCCTTCCTTCTCCCAAAACAAGTGACACATCCTCCAAAGCATCCCTGCACACACCAAGCTCTTCTACGAGTTCAACGTCCGCAACAGCCACGACGTCTCCTCCAGGCTCGGTCTCGATTGCAAACACTCGATCACGGAAAGTCAATGATGGATTCGAGATATTACCTGCCGGCACACTCGAAAAAGGACCCAGGGTCAAGGACTTCGGGACTGGGCAAGGAGAGTCGGAAATGAAGAAAATGCCTAGGAAGCTACAGAAACGATCGCGCTCAAGTTCTGGGAGTCGTCGAAGTTCCATAGAAGGTCGGAGGCTTAGCAGTGACATGTTTCCTTTGCCGATTTTCTGACTTTGTGGAGGTTTCAATCCGTGTTGGAATAGGGTTCTTAGGGCCTTGGATCTGCATGGTTCTACAAGGCTATCCGTTCGTTTCTCGGAGGCAATTCGGTCCGCGGTGGAATTCTGTTGGCATACCTCCATTGTCTTGGGAAGTAGTTGTCCGACTTTGCTCAACACGGCGCACAAGGGTGCCACAGCGCAGGGGCTGACCTATTATTGCTTGGTTGCTGCAATAGTGATATAATAATAATGGCTCCAGCGAGCCCTATCCCTGTTTCGAGAGTTCGTCTTTTGACAATTACTCTCAAGGCGTCCAGCAATACAATCTATTTGCGCCAATTCTTGCGCAGTGCTTCAAACCGCGTTATATCTTCTACGCCGACACTGCGTCTTACTTCGGTTTTTGCATGCAGAAAATCCTGTGTGATTATCGTGTCGGGCCCTCCGGACGATTTGATACGGCGCACGGCGGCGAGCCCAGCTCTCCGTAACAAAGATTCCAAATCGGCACCGCTGAACCCGTCACATTCTCTGGCAATAGTGGCCACTGACTCGTCAAACACCAAGTCACTTACTTTTCTGCACAGAGTCCTCAGGATCTCGACTCTCCCCTCGGCATCCGGCAGACCCACGTACAGAAACATGTCCAGTCTACCCGGTCGAAGCATGGCGGGATCGATGATGTCAGGCCGGTTGGTAGCCGCGATGAAGTAGATGCCCTCGCGCGAGTGGCCGACGCCGTCGAGTTCGGCGAGTAAGGTGTTGACGACGCGGGCGGAGGCCTCCGACCCGCCTCCCACGCCTCCATCGCGCGTGGGCACGAGCGCGTCCAGTTCATCGAAGAAGACGATGACGGGGACGCTGGAGCGCGCGCGCGTGAAGACCTGCCTGACGGCGCGCTCGGATTCGCCGAGGTATTTGTTCAAGAGCTCGGGGCCCTTGACGCTGATGAAGTTTGCGTGGCTTGCGTTCGCGCACGCCTTGGCTAAAAGGGTTTTTCCGCAACCCGGTGGTCCCCAGAGAAGGGTCCCCGACCATGCTGGAAGGCCCAACTTGGTGTACACGGCCGGGTCGCGGATGGGAGAAATCACCGTCTCGGTCAGCTCTCTGATGTGGTCGTCAAGTGCGCCGATGGAGGCAAACGTCGTCGAAGGGATCGTGGCAAACCCTTCTCTCAAAGCGGAAGGTTGGATCTTCGGGAGGGCGGTAAGAAAGTCCTCAAAGGTGACGAGGAGCGATGATTCCTCGGCCTCTGACGATGGGGACTGGCTTTTGATGTATTTCACAAGCCGGCGGAGGGATTTGATGCTTTCCGCGTCTGGGTGCTTGTCGAGGTGCTGGTCGCCGTCAACGTCCATTATATACTTGTCCGAGTTGGCCTGCAGGACGTCTAGATAGCGTTCCATCGCCGTTGCGGACGCTGTCAACACGAGGTCGTTTAGGTCAGCACCGACGAATCCCGGGGTACGCTTTGCGAGAACGTCCAGGTCAACATTGTCGGCCATCTTCATGCCCTTGGTCAACGCTGCCAGGATCCTCGCACGATCAGGCTCGGTGGGTACTCTCATGTTGATTTCCTTGTCAAAGCGGCCCCCTCTTCGCAGTGCTGCATCGAGAGTCTCCAGTCGGTTCGTCGCGGCAAGGACAACCACCGGTTTGCCGTCCGTCTTCTCTATCGTGAGATCGTCCATGCACACAGACAGCTGTGCGACGATCCGTTTCTCCATCTCCCGCTGTGCAGTTTCGCGCTTTTGAGCGATGGCGTCAATCTCGTCGATGAACAGCAGGCAAGGCGCACAACTTTTTGCCTCGTCGAATAGGTCCCTAAGAGCCTTCTCGCTCTCGCCTGACATGCCAGACACGATACTGGTGGCGGAGACGGAAATGAAGTTGACTCCCAGCTCTGCGGCCAAGGCGTTGGCTATCATCGTCTTGCCACAGCCTGGGGGTCCATGCAACAGGATGCCCCGCGGCGGTTGGACCTTGTTGGAGGCGTAGATCTCTGGCTTGCTCATGGGAATGACGAGCAATCGTCTCAACTCTTGGATAACGGGGGTAACACCCCCTAGGGACTCCAAAGATACGTGTGTCGGTGGAGATCTGTCAATTGAAACATTACCAGCCCTGCGCTTCTTGGGGCGGGGTTCGCCATTCGTGAGACGTTGTGAAGTCGAGACTTGAGGGGATTCCATGTTGGGCGTCGATGCTGGTTTAGGCGCAGATGCAGGTGGCACGGTTGTTGAAGTTGACCAGGCACTGACGATGCTCTTGTTCAATTTATTCGACACAGGTTTGTGTATTTGCCGCTCCTCTTCCTCCTTTTCCTCAATAGCCACAAAATCTTCGAAATCGGATTCCTGATCCCCTTGAATGATCTCAAGCACTCGCCGGATACTGTCCTCCAGCAACTTTTTAGGTCTTCGATTTAGACTTGAATTGGACGTTCGAATCTCATCATATACACCGGCGAAAGACAGGGAGGTGCTTTGAGTGTCTCCGTATTGCGCCCGGTCGTCGAGGATTTTGCGAACGACTGTGTACACCTGCAAACATGTGGTGAGCACAACATAGGGGTGTAGAGTGGGAGGGGAAAACACTATACCTCTTTATCCAGACCCTGCGCTAAAGTTTGACGACGACGGCCTCCTCGAGCCATGCCGCACAGTTGGGCGGCGACTGCAGATGTGTTCAGAAACTCAAGGTCTTTGTGGGCGCATTTTCCCAAGTTTTCATCTCCGCCGCCTCACTAGCCTGAGCCTCGTCCCGCTCGGTGGGCCCTGACAATTTCCGGTGGATTATTTACCCTCCGAAGTGCAATGCCAGGCCGGCTGCCAGTACGACCCAAGTACGACCCTTGCATTCAGCTCCAGGGCATCATGTATTGTGAACAGGACTTTTGTGACCTGCTTGCCGCCCAAGAGACGGATTGTCTGCCCGGGGTTTTAATAGATACAGCATGGGCATAATACTTTTCCGGCTAATATGATATACGACGTTGCCATCCTTCCAGACGCACTGCTATTGATAAGCCACGATTGACGGCAACACTCTTGGCCTTCTGAGAAGTCGACACGCTACCGAGACGTGCTCTTCTTCTCGTCCTTCCTGCCGGTCAAGCCCAAGTTGCCCAAGTGCGTGTGGTCGAAACTGCTTCCGTATTTCAAACCATAGCCCAGCATACGATCCATGCCGATGTGCGCGAGCCAACTCAGAGCCAGTCCGGTGAGGGCCTTGTTATCTCGTGCCAGGGCAACGCATAGCAGAAGTATGGGGGGCGTTTCGGTGTGAAAAGCGTTGTACAAGGCAGCGCCGACCGAGGAATTGGCGAGATATCCCGTCATGCCCAGATCCGGAGTCAGCAGAAGGGCGGCAAATGTCCACCACGATTGTCCCGAACGCGAATAGGCCCAGATTGTTGAGCCGAATATGCAAGCGCCTTCTAGCCGCAAGAGCCGCCGCGGCCAGGTTTTCACAAAGCCGTCCTGCATCGCGAATATGTTGCTGGAACGGGATATAGGTCTCGAAGGGGCTATGTGCAGAATGAAGTGGCTGAGCTATACGGAGTAGATGTGCCGCTCGTCAGTATTCATGCAAAAGGGCGAGGAAGGAGAGTGTAGAGACTGGATTGGAGATCTTTTAAGGTTGTGAACAGTCGAGGCGGAGGATCCCAAAGTTGCGCTCCTGGCTAATGGATCCCAGCAGATTGCTCGTACTCGGCGAGCTGGATACGTCGCGAGATCGGCGTTTCCAAGCGAGCTGCTGGATAAAAAGAATGGGTGGGCCTGAAACCTTGACTAGGCTGAAAATGGAAATCAGTCCTACGCTCCTTGCCGTTGATGTTGAACAGAAACATCAGGGAATCTTTGCAAACATCCTCGTGGAATGATTCTGGATGCGAGGACGAGGCAGAAGGTGGACCGCCTGATTAGGAATCTGAGGCCACTGCGACGCTCAGAAGTGGCTAGGCGTACTTATGTAGGATGATACGGCGGGCTGGACCGGTGCCAGGCCATGGGCCATATCGCCGAAGATGCTGGTCCTATGGGCTTAAAGCTCGCTGTTAGGGTGGTCTTCAGCGTGGTAGCACAGATGGAGCCTGTCTTCCCTGCCGCCTCAGTCTGATTGTGCTTCCGGGTTGCCTTTGACGTGATGTCCACTTCGTTCTCTTGATCTTCGTCACGAAGCCTTGAATCCACTTATTGAACTTCTCCCATCGTTCCGCCCACCGCTGCCTCGACATAAAGCCTGGTTCTGGTTCACAATAAGTCTCCAATCCTCCGCGGTCCATTCGAATCTTTCCATGCTGTTCATCATAATAGCACGTAGCTTCCGCCACGGACATGCGGTAATATTTCTTCATGAACTCTCTCATGTTGTCGACCTCTGGATGTTTCTTCTTGAAGAGTGTGGCAATGGTTGAGACGTCGCTCTCATCTAGCAGCCGCGCATAAGAGAGCAACCCTTTTGGCTCTTCGCGCAGGATGGAAGTTGTCGTACGCACAACAATCGCTGAGCCAATGGTGCCGAGAAGCATTGCCGATAAGAGGGCCAGAACTGCCCACGCCACAGCTTCATTGACATATAACCTCTCCACCGCAATGACCATTTGGGCCGGAGCCTCACTGGGAGAGCTTCGCGGTTGAATGAGCTCTGTACTTGCGAGAGCAGCAAACATTGTCTCGTAGACTGCTTCTGTTGCCTTTTCAATGGCGAGCGAATCCAAAACAGAGAGCGAGTTGAGGATTTGTGCGTGTTGGTAAATGGTCTTGCCCAATATGTCGGCCCTGAACATTGCCGAGGGATCATGGAAAGTGTAGAGATGGAGCACACGGTGTATTTGATCAAATGCTAGAACTTTCATTTCCGTTGTGTCCTCTGTCGTCGCTGATACGAAATGCGGCTGGTCGCTTCTGGAAGGATCGAATGTCATGGTCAAAGAGACGGTTGAGTTCCAGTATTCGGGCATACAAGACACAATGGTCAGATTTTGAAGTTTCCCAGGCAAGTCATCGGAGTAGAGACCGGCCAATACCCCAATTCGATCATACTGCTCCCCACGACACTGCTGATACCAGCTTTGAGCATAAATAGGGGTTGAAGGAGCAACGTCAACGATTCGAGTGATATTGCAGCCGCGGTCGACCAAAGGGACTGTCACAAAGCCAACTCCCTCTTCATCAGAAGGCTCGAAGACGGCCGTGTATTCAGAAGGATCCATCAAGCGACAATTTGGAGACGAAGATAACCCAGACGTTTTGGCTGTAAAGTTTCCGCTGATCCCCTGTTCGGTCGGTTGGAAAGGTCCGAAGGCGAATCTCTTATTCATCCACGATGGAGCGGCGGCACCGTGGACGTGGAGGGCGTCTGCAAGGTTCAGAGCGGGCTGCATGTTGGTCCGTGAATCTAGAAGGTCCATGGTGAATTCTTGGGAAAGTATGATCGAAGTATCTCGGATGGACCGCGATGCGGCTGCCCTGAAGAGGTTGGCGGAGAGGGAAACAAGGGAAATCTGTGCCAGCAGCTGGAACAGCAAGGCCAGGCCCAGGGGGATGTGTTCATGGCGCATTGCAATTGCCCAGCTGTAAAATAACGGGTATGTTGTGTAATCCAGCATAACTGTCTTCCTCATGTTCCTCTGACCCAAACGACCGCTCCTCAATGCCACGAAAGGTTGACGGACCGCCAACGCAGAGACGATGGAATTATAAGCCAGGAGGAAGAGGGCCATGATAAGGGCCGGGACCAACGTCCAGCGAAACTGGCTGCTACCCAGGCGAGGGAATGAGATATCTGACAGCGATGAAATCGGAACAACAGACACGCTGGCGATCCCATCGTATCTTCTTGAGCCCACAGCTAGAGCTGCAATAGTAATAATGAAGCCGATTTCGAGAGAGATCACGATAGCCAAAAACCACCATTGCAACTTCCATGACAGCCAACCTCTGAAGACTGGCGGTTGTTGCGGACGACGCCTGTGTTTTCCTATACAAGAGCAAATTAATGACCGAATCTTCCACATTTTGAAGCCGTGGCGAGAATGAGGCTGAAAATACAAAGGCAACGACAATGGCCGGGGGAGCAGATTTAACTAGATTACGCTACAACAAATGGAAATCACCCAAAGCACAGCCAATTACCAGAGCATCCCCAGGCTTGCCAATACCTCCTCATTTGAGCTGTGAATGGAAGAGTGCTGAAACATTGGAATAAAAGGGGGCGCAGCTGCATACGTACTTGTGTAGTCCAGTTGCCTCGTCAGGCTGGTCTTTCCTTTCACGGGTTGGGTGCAAGAGGCGTCCATGCAGCCAAGTGTCTTGGTCGTCGAACGTCACCCAGCGGCATCGTCTTCGCTGAAACCTCACAAGGGTGACAGACCATGTCGAAGAAGAAAGAGAAAGAAAGAGAAAGAAAGCAGACTGTTCCTCCTTTTGTCTAGGATTTAAGCATTGCGGTGCCCAATCCAAGAGAGTTTCTCTCGCAGCCTCCTGTGAGTTCGGACAAGGCCGAAGGCTGGCGGGATGCGTTTGCGGTGGCTCCCGCTGTTTTCTCTCTTTTCACAGAGCCTTACACAGACACCACAGACACTTGATCCATCCATATGCGGCGCCCAAAGCAGCATCATCACATCGTTCTCTCGATGTAATTCTCTTATCAGCGCCGTTGGAGCCTGCACTGCGGCTCCGGATGTTGCATCCTTCCATTCATGCTATTGCCGTCAAGCCATCCTGAATGGCATTGTCGAGTGCGTCGAGATGGCGATCCTTGTGCTGTATGCTCTTGCTCTAACTATTCCCCCTATTAGTTGTAACAGCGAGCAACGCCTCTGTGCAGCTAATGGCTATGTCGACAAACAGGTCGACTCTGCCTTATCGGAGTGGCACCTGCAATGCGATACCTTCATCTCTTTCGCGCCAACGACACCCGTCCTATCGACAATCACGTCGACGTACGATGTTGACTCCTGCTCGAAAGCCATCGAAGCGTGTATTGGCCGCTCCCAGGAGATAGAGGCCTGCACTTATACATACGGATCCACCGACCCCGGATTTTCCTCATGCTACTGTCAGCCCAAAATTCTGTCGCTGGCTTACAGCTGTGAAATACTGGGCCACGGGTCGTGCCGCGAAATACCAGCGACCGTGACAAACTTGGCCCAATACAGCATTTGCCCGAATTTCTGTGATGTCTTGGACTGCAACGACACAAAGGTAAGCCTTCTGCATCTTTATACCAGTCTGTCGTCCACCTACCACAGTTCTGCTAACTTGGAGGGCCGAGCAGAAGACCATCTCTAGCAGCTCGGCTACGATCAACACCAAGGTGACAGGCTCGGCCGACGACAACACCGTAACCATCACCTCGCCACCTCCACGACCTGCCACAACAACCATGTCCTCCGTCACGACAACGTCTTCGGGTTCGAGACAATTAGTGGCGTGGGAACTTGGTGCATTGGCGTTGATGGCAGCGTTGATCAGATGGATCTTGTAGTCCGGAGAGATGCTAGCGAGTGATGAGATTGTTTCCAAAGGGCGGTTGCTTGCTGTTAATTGCCCCCCTGGTCCCCTGTCTGATCTGGCGTCTTGGCGGGCGAAGGATATTGTTTGGATTGAAGTAATTCATGTCAACCTGGGCAGCAGGCGTCGAGGATCTTGTGCCTCGACTCTCACAGCCTCGTCAGCCCGGTAAAGCAACCTTCAGCACGTACCTTAACAACCCCTCTTCCTTAACTCGAACCCTTCATGTTTATTTCGAAACCCTTTTGCGGGATCGACTAGTTATGAGTGGGAGTATCTGGCGTCAGAAAAGCTGTTGTTCAAGACTCGGCCATATCCGAGTCTCATCTGAATCTAGGACGCTCTAGACGGTTTGGGTCATTGACCGCAAGTGCACGCACGGCAATCATACAGATGGGGGTTGGAGTCTTCGAGCTGAGTGCCAAGGCTGCGGTCGGAGTTGGAGGGGGCTGAGCAGTGGCCATCACGATTCTGGATTCTGGGGAATAGGATTTGGGACCCAGCGAGCCAGGCACGGCAAGGGGTCCGCGCAGGCTGATGAGGCGCTACCATGACAAACGAGGCATGTGGTATTATTTCACTGTCTATATTAATATTACTCGGTACCATTTCTTCCCTCCTCTCCTCGCTCCTCGCGCCTCGCAGGCAACCCCTTGACAAGCATCAGATCTACCTACCCTAGGTAGTTGTTGAATCCTTTTGACAAGCTTATCTCCCCATATGTCAATACCCGTCTGCCTCAGCTGACAACACGTCTCTGCCTCCATGCGCCCGGCGGCTCGATGATTCAATGATTCGCATTGCTGTCGCTAGGCCCATCGTGCCTGGATGCCCGTCCTGAACCCTTTTCTGCGCGCGCTCTTTCAGAGTAGTGTGCTAGGTCATGCGCTCCCCGCCCAAAACTATGTCCTCCTCGTCCCTACGACCGAATCCCTCCTTTATGGCCAAGACCGCGAAACCAACAAGAGATACGCCGACCATGTCGAAGACGAAGACTTCCTTGGGAGCCATATCCTCCGAATCATCCCTACGGCGGTGGAGAAGGATGGAAGTGTTCGCGATAGTCGTGGCAAGGCGAAAAACTACTCGACGGTCAATGGGCGCACCGTGATTCTGAAGGAGAACACTGTGTATAGTAACAAGGGCTTCAAACATTTGAATCAGGCGACCCTGTTGAGTGATTTGCTCTACTATTCGCCGGGAAATGATATGCAACAATGGCTTGTCTACTACATCTCGAAACCCTTGACTGGTCTCTTCGAGGCGCTCCCTATCAAGCCCGCAATCATCGGGGAGACCAGAATCAGTCAAGCCGGACCTGGCACCTCATCCTCATCTTCCGAGCCTCCCACCCCGAAAAAGAAGGATATTAAGACCTTTGGTCAATTGCTGGAAAACTTTCCGATGATTCAGCGACAGATGCAGCCCGGCCTCGAGAGGTTGTTCAATGAATTTAGCAAGGAACTGGGAAAGCCTCTTCCTCCGCCGCCTTCGCGCAGCCCGACACCCAGTACGTTGGACGGGACGACTCAAGCTTCGGAAACTGGGTCCCTCAAATCGAACGGTTCCGTCAAGTTGCCGTTCAACTCTCCCGCCTATTTTGAGGATGAGGAGGATCTCATGCGGACAGCTCTAGAGACCGCTGTCACCGCTGCGATCGACTTGTTTCAAGGAGTTGACAAGCAACAGCTTTCCTACCTAGGTGCCACAACCGATTTAACCGGTCCCGACGTGGAGAAATTGATAGAACGATACGTGGCAGAGTATGTCCACGCCACTCTGTTATTTCCTCGGTTATGTGCGTTTCACAAAGCCCAAGATCAAGAACTTGATCGGCGAATACGACAGATGGAATGTTTAGATGTCTCCCAAGTTGGGATAGTCATTGAAGATGGCAGAAACGGCAAAAGGGATCTTATCAACCGGGTCAGTCGTGGTGTTGCGGTGTTTCGAAGGATGGGTGTTGCCGGAAGTCCTCAGGAAATGCTCGACATCCTTCTCGAAACCCAAAAAGTGGTGTCGGAGCCACAAGGTATTTCAGATGAAGAAAAACGGGCGGTGGCTGCAATGACGATTAATGCGGATATTCTGGTGTCGATGCTCCTCCTCGTGGTTATCCGCGCCTCAGTCAGACATCTCCAGGCGAGATTGTCTTATATGCAGCGCTTCATCTACATTGACGACGTCGAAAGTGGCGAGATTGGCTATTCACTAAGTACTCTGGAGGCAGTCCTGACATATCTCGCAAGAGATGCTGGTGGCTTGCGAAAGGCGTCAAAGCAAAACCAGATGCTCTGGAAAGCTGTGAAAAGTGGAAAGGTGGACGAAGTCAGATCAATATTCGAAGAGTCAGCTATCATGTCAGATGACCTTGTGGAAGAACCTGCAGAGATTCCCTTGTCAAGAATGACAACTGCCTCTACCAAGTCCTCCGAATCAAGAGGGCAGTTGTCGCGAACTTCCTCAAGTGAGGGTGGTCTGTCACACGTATTTCCTTTTCAGGCAGCGGAGAGAAACAGCCTCCTACCCAAGCAGAAGAAGAAGGTGCAGATGGCAGCTAGGAGCATGTCAGTTTCTTCGGCCTTTTCACATTTGTCTAGGGCTGCGACAATCGAAACGTCGCTGAGCGGGATCGAGGGAGACACATCGGTGCAGAGTCTCGCTCAAACACAAGATGCCATGGGAAATTCGGTATTGATGATGGCGGTCGAAAGCCAGCGACCAGAATGCCTTCAATTCCTATTGAGCCTTAGCGACCATTACAGGCCAGAAGAAGTGCTGTCAGATGTCACTCAGGAAGGAGCAACATTATTGAGCGCCGCAGTACAATTGGCCAATATGGACCTGGTTGATATCATTCTCAACTATGCGGAGCGACACACCGATGAACAAATGTTCCGCGAATATCTGTCTGTCAAGGATTCTCGGGGACGGAGCGTGGCACATTATGTGTTTAATACGCCTCAACTGATCAAAAGACTTTCCAATGTCCTTCCCTGGCGGCAAAAGGATAAAATCGGCCACACTCCTTTGTTTGCTATTTGCCGCACTTATGACCACCCTGACTATAGCAGTATGGTCTCGGAAGCCTTGACAGCTGCAAAAGAAGCTCAACAAGATGGCGGCCCGCTGCGTATGGAAGACCACATTGACAATAAGGGCAACTCCTTGCTCCACATTATCAACGACGCCACCATCATGCAACGGATCCTGCAAACTTGCGAAGTCGATCTGAACGCGATGAATGACAAGAAGTTTACTCCGTTGATGCTGGCAAGCAAATACGGGCGAGTCGACATGGTTCGGACCTTCCTGAGTGACCCAAGAATTGATCTGCATCTGCGGGAGTCTCGTGGATTGACCGCCGTGGAACTGGCGAAAGATGACGAGGTGCGGAATCGAATTGACGATCTAACATTGTTCTCGCCTGCAAATACGGCCGATGTCACGGGAAGAATTACAGCGATCGTCCGGTCATTCTTCGTGGAGGACGGTTCAACAAGGTTTGTGCTCAAGTCGGGCGCCCCGAATCCTGCAGTCTCAAGCACGACCTATACCATCACCACCAGTCGGCGCTCCTTGCAGGACTTTGAGAATCTGGCGAAATGGCTCCTAATGGACTTCCCCGCGTCTTATATGCCGACGATCCTAGCCTCGAACTTCCGCAATCCTTTTCAGCTACACTCGCGGCCGTCGCGCGCCGCTCTGTACGATACACAAACCCATCTTGACCGATTCCTCAAAATTCTATTGAGGCATCCTACTTTCTCGACGCACGAGATGCTCTGGGAATTTTTCCTCGTCCCGGATATGCTGCAAGAACAGATGGCCGATCGAGCGCGGCTAAAAGCGGAACTCATACAGGAAAAGATCAACGATGAATATGATCCCCTGATATCCCGAGCAGATATGAATGCCGTTGACGGTCTGGTTTCTCACTCGAGAGACATTGTGCGGAAAATCAATATCTGTACTAGATCGGCGATTCGTAAGGGTCATGCCTACGTTCAAGCACATGCCGATTTTGCAGAGGGACTGAGTTTATGTTCGGTGGCCTTTGCGACCATGGGGGCGCCCGCAACGACCCTGTCGAAGATGCACGTTGATACCTTACTGAAATTTGCGGCCTTGATGCACTCAGAGCCGGCGAGTTCGCCTCTGCAGAATTACATTTGCAGTTTGAGCTCGTTTCACTCGACGGTTGCGGCCGTGCAATCCGCGTTGTTGAAGCCAAGCGCGTTGATCGACCGGATCACAGCGGCTCAAAGAGCGATGGAGAAGGACAAATCAAACTTGGTGAACAATTCCATCCCGAGAAAAGGAGTGTTGAAGAACATCAATCTCCCATTTCCGGGCACAGAGGAGTCGCGCATAAAGACGGTTAAAGATGCAGAGAAGAAGATCTTGGAAAGAGGATTGGAAATTGAGAGGCTCGGTAGAGAATTGCGCTATACCCAAGAGGTGGTTGTAGGGGAGTTGGCGGGTTGGACGACGTGGAGGCAGGAATGGGGCAGGGGGGAGATGAAGAGGCTCGTCAGAGGCATTGTGGTGAGGGAGAGGGAACGGCTGAAAGGCATGCAGAGAGCCCTCAGGACGTTGAAGGGGAATTGACTGAAGTTCCACCTTGTCTCTAGAGTGGCATGCAGGGCAAATAGACAAGGAAGGGAGGCGAGGGAAGGGAGGTTGTGTTTTCTTTGGGCCCTAATGTTTAGTAGCAGCAGAGAAGGGGCTCGACGGAAGGATGAATTGGATGTATAAAACTGCTACACGGTGGATGAGGTCGATTCATCCTTCAATGATACCCGGCCGGGATGAATGGGATTATGGTATAATAGACCAACACGGACATTATGTCTATCCATTCGTCGTCGTCAGAAATTCATATATCTCGTTTTTCTTCTTCCCGTCTCATTCCACCCGTGCCCTTGCCCGTCCCGTCTCCGTCTCATGCGGCCATGCTTCTCGGTGTCGATCTATCCGTGCGTCACCTTCTTGACTGTTCCGTCCTTGTCGACGTGGATGTTCAGCCTGTAGTGTGCACATGACAATGTGCCGAAGTTAGCACAGACCGTCACCCAGCCAGTCAGTCAGTCGGTCCGTCCGGCCGTCCGTCATGACGCATGTACACCACCATTGTCACCAACACCACCGCAGTCGCCAGATGGTACCACGACGACTTGGTTGCTCCACTTTTCTCTCCTTCGTACCTTACCTGCTCCATACCACACGGCCACCAAAAGAAGAAGAAAAAAACAGAACCAGAAGGTGGGGAAGGAAGAGCAGTCAGCAGTGCCACGTACCGGTCAGGATTGTGGTCCATGGTCATCATCATGCCCTCCTGAACGACGCGATGGTTCCGCGGCAGGTCCTTCTCGGCAAAGTGCGTCTCGTTGCTCGTCTCGCCCAGTCTCTTGCCCATCAGCTTATTCATCCATTCCCCGGTAGCGTCCTTGGGGTTGGAGGTTATGCCTGGGACGACGAGGGGCATCTTTTCTTTCGGTGTGTTAAAAATGTGGCAAACAGTGTGGGTGTGATGTCTCGGCCGTAGGAGGTTGCTGTGCAAAGTGTATGTTTTTTTGGAAAGCGGAGGGGAAAGCTTAGGGATCTGACTACTATGGTAGGAGAAGCAGGTTTCACAAGGGGAAAAAGAGATGGGGGGAGAGAGAGGGAGGGAGAGATTGGAGTTTTTGTAGGGGACTTTGCTGCGTTTGATTGATGCCTGGCTGGGTTGTTGGCTGTGCTATACAAGTCCAAGTCTGAGAGATGCTCAGAATGACGTCGTTTATTCGAGTCTAAGCAGGCTGTTGGTGCAAGATGTAGGTGACATGCATGTACCTGCGTCATTGACGGCGAACAGGTGATTGTCGGTGGCCATGTGCCGTTCTCGCCATCTACAGGTATCGAGGTATGTAGCTGCACACCCTACTTGTATGGTGCATGGATGCAAAGAGACTCTTTTCCCGAGCGAAGAATTATTTCTTTTGTATTTTGAGGCCCTCATCGTCTTCCCCTTTTCCCCAAGGGGCAAATGTGGCTGGTCAAGTTAGCAGCCCCGTCCCATGGCTACATGTCCAGGTTGCTCCGTTGCCGCTCCGGCCTCCGTTGTGAAGGTCATCGATGACAAGATCCTATGCTCATCAAAAATGGGTAAAAGTACATTGCTTTGGAGTTCCCTTCCCCCAGCAGCCACCCGTTGGAACAAGAATTTTGGTCTAAAAGCACACACATCAGGGTCGAGCTGAGTTGATCCTGACAGCTGAACACATATGAGAGGGTAGAATCCACCGTTGTTTCCACAGAATGCTCGCTAAATGCGAAGATATTGACACTCTCAGCTGCGACTTTTTGCACCCGGGAGATCAGATATAATCTCTGGCCGCTTTCTGCAATTCAATCATCCTCCACCCTCTCGTTTCGGGATTGTTGACTTCTTCCGGTATTCTCGTCACGCCAATGGCATACGTCACCAGTTGGACCTTATCTTCCATGCCTGCAGCCAATTCATTCGTCTTCGCATTCCGGTAAACGTGGACTTCTTGCGTCCGGCACGTGATGATGAAGACGGGGATGTCACCAGGCTCCAGTAATCGAGCATTCAGGATGTCGACGTGTCTGATGTCAAGAATCCGTCCGTCCGATTTCAGGCCGGCCTTGGTGTACTGTTCCATCAGAGCCGAATAGACCTGGAATTGTGCCGCCGAGAGCCACATTTTCAAAGTTTCGACGTCGCCCTTGACGTATGCGTCGAGCACTTCGGGCAAAATGTATTCTCGCATATCGCGCAGGAACGGTTCCAACTGGAACGACGGATCCATTTCGCGGAATTTCTTAATGACCATGGCCGTCTCATTCTCCGCAAAAAATCCGGCTACCCGATCCGAGATTGAGCGCGCTGTTGATATCAGAGGATTCTCCGACTCTTCGTATGTAGTTTTCATGTTGAATAAACTCTGCATGAGCTTCGAGTTCTCCTTGAAATTGTTCCATGACTCTCGCCATGCGGAGTCTTTATGAACTGTGATGTTGGTTCCGGCGCTGCAACAATCGTTAGAGCTGAAAAACTTCGCCGTTCCGTTTCGTGGACACTTACTTTGGATCTTCAACCATGGGCTCCTCTTTTTTGTTAGGCGACTGTGCTTCTTTCAGTCTTCTGGCTTCTTCCCTTTTCCTTCGCTCCTCTTTCTCTATCCAGCCACCATATCTGGAGCTGCTCCCATCATCGACAGCTTCCGAGACGTCCTTGAACGCCTTTGTTTCCCGAATCGGCCGAGTGGCTCTTTCAATCCCCCGACCGGTGGCGTTGACTCCTTTCCGTATGCCTTGAACGACTGGTGTCTCCCAGGTCCATGCCGCGCCTTGGCCGATGGCGCTGGCTGTGCTCTTCAGGACCTGCGACGTGCCCTTCGACGCCGCCTCTGACGCTTCTCGCGCCCTTCTTACAGCATCGGATTCGGTAAACTGCTGAACCGAGCCAGAGAGTTGTTTGGTAGATTCGTTCCATTCTTTGGACGCCTTGAATTCGGTTCGGAGGGTGTCAACGAAGACTTGCCAGGGGGTCTTGTCACCATGAGGTGGTGGAGGTGGACGGGAATCTTTTCCTTCTTTCTCTTCCTTCTCTGATTTTTCTTCATTCTTCTCTTTTCCTCCACTTGCTTCCTTTTCTGCCTTCTCGTCCCGTGGCGGATCTCGAACTTCTTGTTTTGGGTCTTCTTTGGTCTGGGTTTGTTGGGATCGAGCTCCGGAGGAGTGGAGAGATCGAAGGAGAGGCTGATTCAAAACGGTAAGTCTGGGAGAGAACGGCGTCAGATGTAATGAGGGACTGAGATATGGTGATTGCTTCTCCAGCGGGAGTAATCGTCTGTAGGCTGCTGTCCTTCCATACTGCGCCGACACTCGGAGAGTGGCAAGTTGAGTCGTGACTGTCACATAATGGCGGACACCATGGACAGGTGCTCGACGCAGTACAGTCATGCTACGGGACAATTATCGGTAAGGGAGAGTACAGAGAGCGAGCAGAGCACCGGAAAAAAATGGTTCAGCAAGCTCATTCATAGTCAGTTGACGCATCTTGAAGACGGCGGAGGAAAACGAAATTCGGTTTCGGCTAAGCTTCCTATTCCGCTGTAGAGCCAATTGCATCTTTCTGGAACCACGAACTGCACAATGTTGAGTCCGCAATTCCTTTGGTCTGGCGGCGACGACGACATCACAGACAAGGCACCATGGCGCGACCAGGGGCTCCTCTACTGTCGTCAATGTGCAGATCGTGCAGAAATTCCTACCTCACACAATCTCGACGCACCATCTCAGATTCAAGCCCGAGCTCCTCTAGGGACACAGAGCGCCAGCCCAGCAGACTCTCTGAACGTCTCGGGATCAAGGTCAATGAGGAAGTCCCAACGAAGGAAACTGATACTTTAAGCCAATTCCATGAGCTCCTGCGCGGAGGTTTGAGCAGCAACGCTGCGCCACAGACCACGAACAGTTCCATGCGCTCTATCTTCCAAAGAGACCTTCGCAATGTAGCGCAATCTGCACAGGCAGAAGCCGCAACCTCTTCTTTCAGGAACTCGTACACAGACGAACCGTACCACATCAATGTCTACGCGCACCGGCATAACACGCATATCACATTCACTGAACCCAACCGCAATCCGATCTTATCCTTCTCATGCGGCAATCTGGGTCTGCGCAACGCACAAAAAGCATCCTACGACGCCAGTTTCCAATTAGCAGCATACACGTTTCGAAAAATGGCAGAGAAGCAGTGGAAACTAGGAGGCAGCAAAAGTAATAAACACAACAACAACCCATGGTGCACCCTATCCAGCATCAAGAAACCTGCGTACAGTGGCTCTCCCGGCGCAGGGATTGAGGTGATCTTTCGAGGATATGGACCAGGAAGAGAGGCCTTTCAGAAGGCACTCCTGGGCACGGAGGGGAGGATGATTAAGCCTCTCATCGCGAAGGTGACGGACGGGACGAGGTTGAAGTTTGGAGGAACCAGGAGTCCGCAGGTCAGAAGGTTGGGTTGAGCAAGCGGAGATGTGTATGTTGTATGACTATTAGGGGTTTGAATACACGCAAAGAACAGTGGTTTCTGCACTCGATTACAGACCGGCACGCAGAACACCCCAAAGAAACTAGGAAAAAATGGACCATTTGTGAATACACCTATCTGACTATTCCATTTCTCTGTCAATACCCACCTGGTGAATTCGAGAAATAGTCCCCGCCAGCAACCGGACTCAATCTCGCCGGCGACGTACTGGTGCTTTCCTCCGAACTCTCATCCACACCCTTACTGCTCGAGCGTGGTATCTGGAGCGTCCCTCCTACCCCAGATACGGTCCGATTTGGGTCCAAAAACGCGGGCTTGTCCCTGAACCCGACGCCGACAACGACCCTCCTCAACGCATCCCCTCGCGGATCAATCCCCATCATGAACCTGGCGAGTTCGGCGCACAGCTCGAAATCACCCTTTTGGCGCGCGAGCTTCATGAGGCGGATGACGTAACCTTCGAACTTTCGGGCGTCATAGGACTCGGACTCGTCGCTGCCCTCTTCCAACCCCTGGAGCACGATGAGGTAGCCGCCCGCGGTCTTGAGATCCTCGAGTTCGAGGGCCTGTTCGAACAGGGTCAGAGGCGGCGGGAGGTGCGCGAAGAGCGTGCGCCACGAAGAGAGCTCTGTTTTGCGGATGCATTGCACCACGGTCGACAGGTATGTTGTTGGTGGGAGGACAAGTTGGAGGAATGAGAGAACAGCTGGCAATGGGCCTTGCGCCTCATTGTCGTTGTCTTTGCCCTTTTTTACTCCGGGTTTACGATCAACTTCATCGTCGAGGAGGTTGTGGAGCAGGATTTCCAGCGCGTGAGGAAAATACGAAAGGCTCTGGTATTGGTTCGCCAGGCCGAACGCAGCGGCAGTGTCGTTCGCTTCACAGAGTTGGTGGCGCAGGATATAGGGAAGAAAGAGCTGAGTGCGGATGCTGGAGCGGAATTGTGCAAAGTTGACGTCTCGACGTTGCAGAAGCTCGGACTCGATGCCGAGCACGACACCTTTGGTGAGAAGAATGGATAAGGGGTAGAAGTCGACGGACATGGATAGTATTGGTGAGATGTTGAGATCTCCTGCAGCATGGTGGAACAGATCACGCACATCAGGCCACAGACGAAGTTCATCGCCGCTGAATATCCACAGAGAGTCCCGGAGTGAGTAGTTTTGCTGGCTTCGCATGGTGAATGCCGATCCAGGCGACGGTGTAGGTGGCGCCGACTCATCCGGACCGGTGCTGAAATTGAAGGATATCTGATCACGCATGAGGATGTAGTACTCAACATGCTGAGCAACGACACGCATGTCGTATTTGAGCTCATCCTTTTCGTTTCGGGAGGCTTGCAACAAGACCAACTTGTCATCGACAAGGAAAAGGACAGATGCGAATTCCACGTCCCTAGACGGATCTCCGTTTCGAAGCTGAGAATCCGGTACAACCCAGCTGACAGACCGAACTCGACTTGGTGCACGCACGATGCCATGAAAAGCGATTTGGCCCACTTGCACGAGTTGCGCACCTCGGTCGGTTATGTTGAGGATATAGTGGTAGAGGATGTTCTCGTAGGTATATACCAATACCGAATCTTCTCCTGAGGGTCCCACAAAGACGATTGGCATGGAGAACGCTTCGTGATGCAGTGGGAAACGACCCAGTTCGAGTTCCCGCGAGTACAGTCGCAAGTCGTACCCACCGGTATTCTCGGTTGCGACAGCTAGGACATGGTTGAACCAGCACATTCCTCCGCGAACTGCGAATGAATTCTCCACCGACAGATCAGAGAAAGATTTCCACCTTCCGCTCTGAACACTGTAGTGGGCCAGACCCCGGCGGCCAGCAATGGCGATGTATCTGCCGTCTTGCGATACGATGCAGGACTTGATAGGCCATTGATTGTGTAGATAGACAGGTGGATATTCGGCGTGATGCCAAAGGGACGCCTCATTCGATATAGAAGTCAAGTCGGGGAGTTCATGGCCACGGTAGACTGTGAGCTCAGTCGGAGTTTGGAGGAGAGCACGAACGAGGTTTGCACAGGAGAAACAGCCCATAGCGGCGCTCCGCGACATTTCTAACTTCCAGATTCGGTTTTCGGAAGGGGAGGTCAGGAGAATTTCACTACCAGCGCCAATCCAGGTCGCTCGCTGAATGGCAAGAAGCCATTTTTCAGCGTTAGATTCAGCGTGTGTGAGGTTCTGGTGGAATGTTGAAGCGCCCTCTTTCCCAAACACCGACCACGTAGACCAACCGTATTTGTAGCCGACGAAGAGACAGTAGCCATCAGGAGACCATATGAGACATGTAATAGCGCCTCTGGACGAGGGTGAAGTGGAAGCTTTGAAAGTGTGAGACAGTGGGATATTCCCAGCGTAGTCCTTGGCAGCGTAGCAGACGATTTCTCCCTTCGAGGTGGCTACGGCAATGAGTGAGAACCTGGCATTGATACTCGCAAACGTCGCGCTGGAGGATGATTCAGGCTTGTGGAAGCAGTAGCCGTCGAACAACCTAGTAGATGGAGTCGTGGATCCCTTTGAGGAAGGGATAGAGTCGTCGGAGGACGGTGCTCGCGTCAGTTGAGGTTTGATCCGCTGTACGGCATATGCATGGCCATCCTGTGACAGCCAGACCGAGAGGTTCATTGCTCTGTCGTGAATCATGGTTGATATGCTCGATTTTGGGGTAATCCAGTCCATCCTGTTCAGCAATTGGGCCACCGCATTAGACCCATCCTTCTGAAGATCCCATCTAATGCATTGTACAGCAGCAGGTTTAGTTGTGGCCACAATTATATCCGAGTCAAGTGCGTTGATCGAGTTGATCCCTGCATCAATTTTAATAGCTCTTCGGAAGCGCAGCAAAACCTCAGGTACCCCGGTGGTCTCGTCTGTTCCAAAGCTTCGCATGACATTTTGACGTTTCGCCTGGCTATACCCATACTGTTGTTGCAGGACACGAGCGGTCTGATCGCTCTCCACAGAGTATAGCATCAAGTAACTTCCCGCTGTGCGAACCACCAGGGTGGTCCCATCTGGTTTGAACGCAACTCCGAGGTTCTGGCCATAGGTTTCTAGTGATTTTGATGAACGAGAGAGCGAGGCGAGGACAACCAAGGGTCGGGTTGACCACAGATCCAGTCGAAAGGCGGTGATTGTCGCAAACAAGTGATCATGTCGCGCAGCTTGAAGGTCTACTATGGCAATAGAGCCATCCCTGGTTGAGTGGTTCTCCTCCCCTTCTTCATTTGAGCGTTCTTCATGGTTGGTTTCTGCTTCCTCGGGGCTGCAGGCGATTACCGTGCTGGGTCCATGGTATGCGAAGATTTGCGGCACGCTGCATGGCCAATACATAATTCAGCAAATCAATGCGCACCCCACATATCTGTTGAATGTCATTTTTTCTTCTGCACTGCGACCACAATTGACCCAGAACTTCTTAGAGCTCGAAGATGTCCGGGATGTTGTCTGAATGATGGAACGAGGATTCGGGCCACATCGCCGTCAGGCCGCTCTGATGCCAAGAAAATCCCAACTAATCCCGAGTGGGAAGATGGTGCTGCTGCCCTGTTGCTCAGGGGAAACCACGTCGAAGAAGCGGACAAACAGACACATAGCGACTCAGATTCGAGAAGATCTTTTCCCTCTATCTCGTGTCTGTTTGGCCGGGCACAAACACTACATATCCTGGGCGCAAACAATGGTACTATTGCTTCGCCCTTGACGCTTTCCGTCAATGACTCAATGTGGACACGGACTAGGCTTCATGAAATCGTTGCTCCTTAGATGCTGGCAATCGTCTATACTTTGGGCATTGCCGGTCTGATGTCAAAGATAATGCACCGAGCCTGAATATCCTCCTTGGTTTGAAATCTTTGCCATGCAGCTCAGCTGCGGCCTTGGAACGCCGCCACCGGGCC